ATGACCTCATGCACCCCATTGGCAAGTTATTGGAGCTCAGGGGGGAGGTGATGGCGCATCCCACATTTAGCCCTAATCTTACATCATCAAGTTACCAATTACATCGAAGTGCGCAAATGCTCTTTGAATGGTATAATTTTTGCTAGTACAGCCAACCTCAAATCGCAGGTGGTTTAGTTTATTGCAGATGAGGACCAGAAACTGTGAGGGAGGTATTATGAGGTTACCGAAAAGATGGCAAAGGCAACCGGCCAAAATGAGACTGTGTCGGTAATTATTTTTCCATTGTTTAAAAGCGAAAGTACATCCTCATTAATTCTATGTAATTACTTGATGTCTTCTCTGGCGGATTATTAGCCAAATACGTATTTTAAATACCTAACCGGTATCTCATTAAATGCCAAGGTTCGAGTCCAGTGGCTAGAAAATTGGTGGATTTGTTGTTTAATTAAAACACGATGTCTCCAATAGAAGCTACTTGTAGTTCACTTGGGTAAACATGTTGGGGATTAGGAGGGCATCAATAGCTAAACATTGCCCATCTCGAGAGCCGCCTAATTAACCCAGTAGCGCATAAATTTGGCTTGTCGCACACATACACAGGTGGAGTAGCCGGTAATGGGAGCAGTACCTTTCATAAAGTGCACTTCAAAGGAAAGTCTGCCGTCTTTTAGTCCGAAATTCACCTCCGTGCATCTACCAGCTGGTTGAATTTGTGGGCAATCCCCATAGAAACTGTCTCTGTAGTCTTTCCGAGCAGTCTCTAATAGATCAGCAGGTGCAATAGCATCCATTGGAATTGGAAGTCAGAAGATAAGCAGCTTATTTTCACTAATTGCTTGTATAAATAATTTATTCTGAAATCTTGTGTATTAACTTACAAGATTAAATTCGGCGTTCTTGGTTTTCCCTAAAAATATCCGTTTAGAGCAAATTTGAAGCTAACTGGCATCATTCTTGAACCGAACTGATCTAGTGATCTTTATCGAAATAGCGCGCGGGTGAATATAAACGTCAACTTCTTTCGTTCCTGTTTTTACTACTATAAATCGATGCAACGAGCGAAAGTATCTTTTCTTTTAGATACATTAGAAGCCAACCAGATGGAGATTTCTAAGCCAAGTAATCTTTAAAATTGGAGTTTCAGGCTACGTCCAAATCGAATATTGTAGGTACAAGAGGGCTAATTCTAATGACTAGGATCTGCTATCGTCCGATTTAGCAGAAAATTATGCCTCAGCTAATTATCCTAGAGCGTTAGTTTGAAAAAAGTCACAGAGAATGAAGGAATTAAGGTGCTCATAAAAGTAGTCCACATTTAATCATATACCATACCTATGCTGCATTGAGGCACACTTGCAGTCGAGAAGTCGGTTTTTGCTTGTAACTTATAAGGGTGTTCACTTTAACGTATTTAGTGTTGGTAACCTTTATAAAGGCTTCCCGAACTCTGCCGAGAGTATTCTACCAGATTTCCCATATTTAAACGAACGAATTGTGAGCAGCTGGTATTTAGTGCCGTCAGGAATGATCTGGGACACTCTTGGGTGCACGCACAACACACGTCACGTTTGACCAGCGCACATTCATTTGCCACACCAACGCACGCGTTCTATTGGCCAAGCATCGAGAGCGTCGCGCGCCAATCGCAAGGGAAGCGGTGGCGTTTAGTAATATGTCACCCCTTCCCCCTCCCGTGTGCGCACCGTGGCTGTCGCCAAAGGGCGTCGAGAGCGTGAGAAAGTGTCCGTGAGGTGGAGAGAGGCAGAGCGGGTGACACTCTTAAACGCTTCGCACCAAAGGATACCTTCAATTGACGAGTTGCCGCCCATGGACCAGGCGCAGGTACAGAAGCGACATCAAGCCTCACCCTCCCCACCAAAGCTAACAGAGCGAGAAACGGAAATAAGTGATGAAGAGGAAGCATATCATGAGGCAGAGAAAAGAATCTGTCTGGATGATACCGACCCAGAGAGTGCCGATAGCCATGTCCATGGAGTTGGCCATTCACTGGTTGAGAGTGAACAGGTCAAGTCCGAGACGGTACCTCGCTCCTTCCTCATTCAAGACCTTCTTCAAGCGTCAATGGACACATGTAAGCTCATTTGCTTAAAAGCTTTTAAAGGCCCGTAAAATGCAAGCATAATTAATTCAAGGGCACAGAGAGTACTCACTTACTCGAATTAATTTGGAGTGATTTAGTTAAAGTAACATACTCTCATAGGACCTAGCATTATTACTGGAATTAAAATAAGCTGGCGCAATATTATTGATCAAAATCTTTGTTCTATTAGTAATCCCAGGTCTAAAAAGTGGATTTTTGTGAACATAAATGCTTTCAATTGCAAAAAAACTTCTCGATGGGTAATGTAGTCCTGTAGTGAAATTTTTTTTCGCAAACGTCAAACTTCAAAAACTCCGAGCTAACTGGTCTGTTGTCAGTGCCATCTTGTATTCACGACGAGGTTCATTATAACATGTGGCTATGATGACGATCAAGAAACAAAAATATTAAAGCACTAATAGTGCTTGTTCGCCTAATGGAAACGAATTTCTGCCCACTAGATTAATACTACTGCAAGCAAGGGTTCGTTTATTTGCCATTGAGCTAGCAAGTGACTTTTTAAAAGATATTTTGGCCCAAGGGTTCACAACATGTAACAAATCGTTACAGTAACTGTTTAAAGGAATTCACAGTCATGATGAAAACAATTAATGAATATTTTCCCATTCTCATTCACAAATGGCGGCTGATACACGCAGGAATATTTTCCCCAACAGTGAATTTATTTCGCGTGTCCACAAAAAATCCACTTAGCGAGGCAGAAGAAACAAGATTTTCATAGTTGCACTTTTCTAAGCCATTTATAATAAAAAATTAATTGGTTTATCTAAGTTTATCGGCCATCTGAATCCCGGCGTGCTACGTGGTATGAACGTGGTAGTGCCTTTATGCCTATGCATAAATTTCCATACCACAGAGTTGTGTTAAGGTTTGACCGTTAAGCTGTAGATATTCAAAGCCTTTATTAATTCGGACAAACCGGGTAGACTTCACTAGGCGGATTACCATATCATTAATAAGGAATTCGGAACTAACTCAGTCAGATCGGAAGTAAATTGTCTGGTGAATAAGGTGAGTGTATCGAGCACAATGCTCCAGTGCCTCGATATGACCTTTAGAACTTAAACTGCTCCCCGTCACGCTTTCATATTGGAACAGCTGAGTTGAGTTTTGGGAATAGCAGCCATCGAGGGATGTATTTTGCCAAGAAAATAAAGTTTTACAGGAAGTGAACACAAGCAGACTGTTAAATCATGGTCGAGCTTCCTGAACAGCAATGTGGCTTGTGCTTCAGTAACTTTTTAGTGAAAGCAACTGCGTTATAATTTAAGGCAATTACCGAGGTAGGTAATCACTGAAAAAACTTGTTTTGTTTTGTCTTGTTATATTTCATTAATGAAACTGAACAAATTTTGAGGGTAACCGAAACTCTTACTTGGGAGGTATTCTAATAACTATATAAAATGATCCCCAGGCCATTCAATGCTCTTCCCTATAATTGTTAAGAGGCAGCTAGTGAATAGCTATTGACATTTGACAGACTGGAGGTGGTTTTTAAATGTCACGTAAATCTATACTTACGCTCCACAAACCTATAACCTGACATGGACAGATGATCGAACAAAGTGGCAGAGAGCGTTAGTGAGTTTCTTGAATGACAGACGCAGGTGATCAAAACACCGCTTCCAGGCAAAAGGGGGTTTTTCGAGTGGCTTCCCGCTATGAAGTTTCTCTTTTCCAGTTATCAAGGCTGTTAGCCACAAAACAAATTCCAATGGTTCTCTGCGGTTAGTTCCAGTTGTCGTCCTTCACCATGAAGACGAAAAGGAAAGAACAGACACGAAGTAAGGAAGGGGCGCCGAAACAACACAGAAGAGTTCAATGGCGACGTCTCATTATAGCTAGATTTGCACTGAAAACCTGTTTATTTGTTTTCGGTGAAAAATGATCCAGGCCATAAGCAGCCGGCAGTAAGTGGAAATGGTTAAGTGTTTTCGTGAGATAAATTTGTGTGCAAGGTTACGTACGTGCATGCAAGTCGAAGAACTGCTCGGGAGGAAAATTATCTAACAAGTGGCCCAGCAACCCGTCTTGGGCAGGTGCATTCGATGCGGTCAACGTTCTCCTCCTTGAGAGAAGTTTCAACTATGGCTGGATGTGGTGATTTGTCTTAAAGGCGAAGGTAAGGCAATCAAACGGGATCTTAGCACGTCATCACGCACGAGAATAGGGCAGTAAGCGATCTCCATTATCCTGAAAAAAGGGTGACTGAAATGCCTCCTCGACATATTGAACGATTCAAATTAAAACGTGAACTCGCCTTTGAGCAAGAGTGCAATCCTCTCAGTCAACCAATGAGTCTGCACAACCCAAAACGTGCACTTTCGAGTGTTAGTGATCGGAGGCTAAGTGGAGATTTATAAGGACGAGTTGCATAATACTGGGAACTTCGGTCGTGCGAAACATGACACGTTGGGTAAATGCATTTCTACTATTTGACTGAGCGGCCTTCAGAGGATTATTATGTGCTTACTGTCAAGCATAGATTTCTGATACTGAATAATAAAAGACACCTCGCTGCTTCAATACTTAGAAAATTGAAAATATTAGCATTTACTTACGGCGTGACTACCCTTAGGCAATAATCGTAGCAACCTGTACAGCAACCTCAAAGATGGTTCTTAGATTGCAAAAATGCAGTCCCGAGATGTTAAAGAACAAAATATAGAATAAAATTTGGTGCACTGCTATTTTTGTGACTGTTGTCACCACAAGTTAAATATTTTTATAAAACCAGGAATTCGACTTCACTGACTCACTTAACACGCATTCTATGCCAGAGAACGTTTAATTAAATTACTGATATGAGCATTCAATAATTACTGTGTTGCAAGCCAGGAACTGGATGCTTGTATCTGCGTATTACTTCATTGGAATGGCTGCGCACAGTAGTTACCGCAATAACCAAACTTCATCACACCACCCGCCTCTAATAAGGTCATATTTACCAGAACGAATGTCCTGGAAATTAGCAAAGAGCATGTGCTGAGACGACAACTAGTTTTACAAGGTGCACGTTCATTGATAAGGAAAAATTTACCACGAAAGCAATGTGACTGCTATCTTGCCGAGCTTGGGAATTTTATGTTAACGACATCCACATCAACCTGTGTTTTAAACTGTATCCTTTGACCACCTGTTTATGTTCTATACCTGGAATCCCCGCTAAGAAGTCCCTAAGTTGGTGGATGTACTGTTTAATTACGAATAGACAGTTGCAGGGTGTGATGCCCCTGTTCTGAACCACTGAAAACATGCTAATCCTGGGCTCGTTATTCCTCTGTAGGTGTCGAAGCGGCCACTAAGGCTGACATTATTGCACCCTCCCTGTACCAAAACATCTTCCATCTCGAACAACTCCGGAAGACTTCAAGCAGTCCAGCTGAGACGAAGCAGCATAACGTGGATGGTGAATGCGAGTCCCTCGACAAAAGTCACTTGACTGACCTGGAAAGCGGAGCTTCTTCATTACAAGAAGACGACGATACCGGGACTGACCCTAAATTACTTTACGGCCAAACCACAGCAAACGACTGGTCCAGTCAACCGCGTGAGAACAGCATCGCCGACGTCACGGTGTCCAACGGGAGTGGTGGTGCCACACCTAGTGGCATCCGGAAAGCCCGACGTGCTCGTACAGCCTTCACCTACGAACAACTGGTGACTCTAGAGAATAAGTTCAAGTCTACACGGTACTTGTCTGTATACGAGAGACTTAATTTAGCACTGTCTCTCAACCTTACTGAGACGCAAGTAAAAATTTGGTTCCAGAATCGACGTACAAAGTGGAAGAAACAGAATCCCGGGAAAGATGTCAATAGTCCTACAGCTTACAGTCCACCGACAGTCTATTCAGGTGGCAAAAATACGAGTAATCCTGGAAACACAGGAGCGTTTCCTAACCAAGATTTTATTGCCCCTTACCTCCAAAATGCACAAACCTTTTCCGCACAACGACCTCCAAGTGAAACAGGAGTTAGAACGTCCTCACCCAAATCAGAAGAATCTGGGAAAACTGTAGCCGACGACATGCGTCCCTTCATGCAATCACAGTACATTAACGTAGTCGAGTCTTATTCCTCCACTTCTCAAAAGAGTATGCCATCTGCCCTAAGTGAAGAACCAACTTTTAGAGACCACTCTGGGTCTGAGTTAGTTGAAAAATCCCATTTACTGGAGTCCATGCCATCAGTACCTGAATCGTCGCCTGGTCAGACCGACAGCCAGGCAACGTTTCTTCTGAAAGCGGCTTCGATTGCCGCAGCAGCCATCGCCTCAGTGAAGAACGACGACTTCTCAGGGATGGTGGATGGAATGCCGTCACTTCTGCCTCCTCCACCGCTGATAAATTGGCGTGACCTTTTCTCACCAGAGACAATAGCTCCGATGTTTTGCCAGCCGTGGTATCTTGCTGCAACCGCTTTGTCATCATTGAAACAGGATCGCGTATCAAATTCTGCTGCTGGCAACGTAGGCGGTGGCAACGGCGGGAATTCTGTGACACAGCCTCCAACCCCCGTCTTCAATTGGTCAGGATGCTGATGCACTTTCATGAAGAGAACGATGGTGAAACCCCCAACTCCTATCCTCAGTACAACATGTACAGTTCATTATTTATGAAAATTATCTATCGAGAGTATATGCATAAGCTTACAGATACGTGTGCATGTTTTTTTTTCACTCTCTATCCTATAACCGTGGCGCCCCATCAGTCACAGGCTTTCATCTCCCTGCCATTTTTCAAACCGAGAAGAGGGGTGCTTGTTTAATACACGCGCGCCCATATACACAAAGTGTGTTAATGGGCCGCTAACCTGCTTCGAGGACAGGCTGGTAAATAGAACCGTGCGCTTGACTAATTAGAGGTCAAGAGAAGTGGTGAGGGTACAGCAGGTTGCGTGACCTCGTAACCAGACGTGCTCTCCAGCGTGACACGCGGCTGCCTCCGACCGCTCAGCGGCAAAACCTTGTGTCCCGCGTAGTGATACCCAAAGTAAACTGGTAGTTCGTCGAAGTCTAGCTAACAAAAACCCCAAGACCAAGAAGACGGTTTATCGCTTGTGGCGATGACCTTTTACTTGCACCTTAACGATGACTTTTTACGTGAATAATTTCTGTGCCGTTTCGATTGCTAGTGTACCTACTACCAGGACGAATACCTGAAACAAATTAACCAGTCGAGGCTGACCATCTGTTGCTCAAAAGAAACTTTTATCATTTGTTATCCCGTGCTTGTGGTAAGAGAGTTCAGAAGCAAATATTGTTTACATAAAGGCTTTAACCCAGGAGGAGTGACTGCAGAAAGTAGCACTTGCCTCCAAGACACTGAATTTTCGAACCTTGGATGATGACCCAAAGTAAACTGCATTCGCTCCGTAAATTTACCATTGGATGTGACAGGTGTTAAGGTGTTCGAGAAAAAACGCCGTGTGTAACTGAGGTCAGGGACGAATGCTCTTGATCTTAGGCCATCATCTCATATCCTCTCTAGTTTTTTCGCAATTTATGATATTTCATTGCACAAAGTCATTTTAGTATTCCCGCTGTTGAGTCATTTTTTCACAAGTAGACATGTGAAAGGTAGTCTGAATAGATTGTTGAAGCTCCCCAATGTGGGTGTCAACCCCACAGGGCAAACTAGGTTATTTCTGTTGTTACAGCCCGAAGTGAAATCACATGCTCAGAAAATAATGCGAGGACCCTTAGACGATAGAGGCTCGAGTATTTGTTAGACTGCTGAAACTGGATGTGTGTAGAGCCGCGATATAACAAGATTCGCCACAATTTAATCGTTTTGGGACGGTACATGGACAAAAAGATGTGAGCTAATGTTTCAGAAAACGAAATAAATCGTGCTTGTATTTTCAGTAACAGTAGGATAAATACAAACAGTCGAATGTTAGGTCATTTGGAAAACTCAAAAACTGGGTTTTGGTGGAATCATAAGTTCTTGTTGCATATTTAGCACATTTTCCTAACATATATATGGGCAAATCGGAAACATTTCTTAAAACTGGCAAACACTCTATGCCAAATTAAGCAAACTCATATTTTAGCGATTTCAGAAGTTTATCAGGTACGAGGAACTGACTGCGAGTGAATACGACGAAAAGGACCTTTTGCTTGCATAAATTCAAATGCATGGCGACTTGGAAGCATCACCAACCTCAGAGACGTTTGTCGCATCAGCTTGTCGTTGTAACTAACCGAAGGAGAAAGTGCCTTTTCCTATGCAAATGAAGACGCATGATGAGAAGGCCAAGTTTATAGGTATATAAGCTTACGGGCTGAAAGGGGAGTAATAGAATCAATAACAGCCCCAATGTATAGATCCCATCCGAACTGCTTTATCATGGGAATGGATTAGGGAAAATATCAGCCCCAACCGAGACTATTTGTTGAAGGATAAGATTTGTTAGCTTATCGTTCGATTTGGCCAGTTTTTATCCATGCGTGAATGATGAATTCAAATGTTTGGATCCACTAGCGGACATCTCACCGACTTCTTGCAAGTGAATGAAACGATTTTACAGGGGAAGAATCACTGCATTGCTCCAAAAACAGTCCAAGTAGTTGAAAAAAAGTAAATTATTTGGATCATTACAGCTCTTAAAAGTTAAAATATTTATCCTTGAACTTGGCCCGGTAAAAGTGACGGAACCTCTCTGCTTAAAACTAAAAACCGACCAAAACGTCTGTGCTGAGGGTGGCGGCCATCAATACCAGTTTAGGACCACCTACGCCATAATAAACTTGATACGCCTGTTAGCACATGCAAATTCAACTCCTTTATCATTTTGACACATCACGGAATGAATACGGTCAAATATGTCACATAGTGTGTGGTGCTAATACACGGAACAGTGTCAAAAGGGGTCAGTGAAACTCATGTCCGTTAATTAGAAAAGTAGAGCTGATCGGAAAAAAAGATGGGGAAGTGTTGCACCACTTGGCGATAACTGGCGAAACTGGGATTTCTAGGACCCACTAACAATAAATCGAAGTACGTTAAAAAGTAAAGCTGAAGTGCATGTGACTACCTGCTTGATGCAAACGTATCAAGTTCTCCACCTGATACATTACTGTGCTTACGATTTTTTAATTAAATCAAACAAATCAGTGCCAAACATCTGAGGCACTCACTGTAACCTGTTGCAAGAACCCTTACAACTATTACCACTACTGCTACCACCACCACTATTACTAAAATTTCAAGTGGTTGCCAATGTATTCCTGTTTGGTTATAAACAATCAAATTAACAATTAGATTTTAGTTGGGTAAGGTTGTACAAGGGATAAAATCTGTGTTGTACAATTATTGAGACAGTAACTGTAGTTTATCGGAATACGAATAGAAGATTTGATTACCAAGCATAAATTACGATGCAAAAAGCGGTAGGATTGGTTTGGAAATTTAAAAGTGTTGGTTGCCTTTTGATTGCAACGAGTTGTCACGTTCATCAAAAATTCTGCTTGAGCAAAAACTCACCGTTTAACATCCCCAAAATAAAAACTACATGTTTGGTACACTGATGGCCCTTCAGTGAGCTTTATAATTTAATCCAAGGCATCAGCAAGCGGATAAAAAGCAGTCCCCTAATCGGTCAATCGTTAAAACGGACGAGTAATTTCGACTCTCCCTGTTTAGGTAGCGGCGCGCTTGTACAGTCGTCTAATGTACCAATTTTCACGACTACGAGTGATCGTAAATAACACAGTTCGTTGGTGCTCTGAGGAGACACATGGCTACTTGTGGTGCACCAAAGCTCTTCATGTGACTTCCCAAAGTGGCGCACCTGTTGGGACCCACATGTGGGCTGTACACGTTCGTAGATGTAATACATGTAATTACTGGTCATTACGGGCTAGCCACCTGCTTTTTGGTAAATTGGTGCGCCGAAAATAGACTATGGAAACAGTGGACCTTATTCGACGTCGTAATTGATTAACTATCGGCTCTGAGTAACTGAATCCCATGTTTCGTGATACACTCGTCATATACGGCAGCCAAGCTTCTAATCTCCACCGTTTATTTAGACTCTCAACGCGGTCAAGTAGATACATGATTTTAGCACCAAGTGCCCCATAAAAGTCCTTTAGTTAATTGGGACGATTATCTTTGAATTGCGGTCTTAAATAACTTGGTTTCAGCTGTATCGTTGCAGACGAAATTGTCAACGTCACTTGGCAATTTATTTCAGCATGCTGCATTTTTATCTGCTTTATTGGAGCACATTCATCAAACTTTACGTGGAGAGCTACAAATGAGATGCTATTATTGTCGAACTCATCCTAGCAAATTTATGTGACAGTTCTCTTTCATTCCCCTTCATTTCCCTTTTGTACGGTGCGTAAAAACTCGACAGGACTGTTACTTATGCCTCTCTATGTCCAGGAAACGCCGATAGTCGTCCGATGTGCAAAAAACACTAGTGCATGTACCTTTGCATGTGGAAAGGGATGGCTCTGACATATACTGCCAAAAGTAAATGATCTTTCGCACCACTAAGATCTACTCAGAACTTCTAAGCCTTGATTCATGACCTTGAGCTACCGCGGTACGAAGCATGTGCGGCAAAATTAAGCATGCTGGTGTGCGAATTCACGTGCTGCCTGCTGTTTCAATACAGCCCTAACAATGCAATAGGCTTCTAAATTAATAGCCCTCAACAAAGCAAAACACAGGGTAGGAATGTTTCCCAAATAACCTGTACTTCTCAAGTCTGGATTGGTACAGACTACTGACGATGAAGCATTATCGATGTACAGAGTGGATCAAATAAAATATTTCATGAAAAGCATTCCGCCAGATGCTTTCGCAGGTGCTGTTTGGGCTGCGTCAGTTGAGGAGAAAATCAGCCAACATTAGGTTGCGTGATACCTCGGGTGAAATCGTTTGTTCCAAAGTGCCCCTGAGTATCCCTTATCATTCCATGAAGGAAAGAAGTTAAGAGAATTGTGCTAAACGCTTGGATTGAACAACCACATACACATCATAAAAGTTGAATGGCGACACTCTAATCAGGACTATAGGTCATTCCTTTGACCTGGGAAGTGAAGTGCTCCACTCTATTAAAACAAGTCTGAAAATGAATGCAGTTTGCGCTGATTGCCTCACAGACTTGGTTTTAGTCAGCCTAGGGACGCAAATACGTCAACCCAGTGTTCATTTCACTACGTCAAGCACGACTGAATCTAATCCCGGACCAATGATATTCGGCACTACTTGCACTGCATAAACAATTTGCCACGCTGCCAGTTTAGGGAGCGGGCGATTAGACAGACAAGTTGCTGACATGCATCAAGGGTAGATGCGAAGTGTGGGGGAATGGAGAGCCCACGATAATAGGGGAAGAGGGAGAAGTGGATGAAAATGTCGACATATAATACACGAGGTGAACAGAATGCCGTCGCAGAAAAAAATATGACAAACGAGTCAATGAGATATGGCATGGCATCCAATTCACCTGGCGGAACTCAACAGCTACCGACCTACGCATTGTAGCATGCCGCGAAAAAGGCCAAACTAAACGTAATAGGGTACCAGTTACGGCACTGGTGCTGCTCATTGGTTATTCAGACTTCGATTACTTGGGAAATTTAGTGTCGTAGAATCAATAGACATCAAAAATCATTTGTCCCACAAACGACCCACCATGACTCCCAATCATCGCTGAAAAGAATGCAATTAAAAATTTCTTTGACGAATTATTCCCTGTTTTTGTGTAGCGAGAAGCTAGGACAATTTATGACGGTTCGCAGTTCACCTAGCGATTTTCAGAAAATTATCAGGTTGCCTAAATCGATCCTACTAACCTAGATAAGTAGACACTAAAGTCCAACAGCTTAGGTGAAGTTTGAAGTAAATTGCAATTTTAGCTAAAAGTTACGCTAAGTAGGATAGTAAACAGATTATTGATAACCACTCATTGCTACCTTATGGCAGGTGGTGAACTAGTGGGTGGAGCCATATCGCAACAGTCAACTTCTCAAGAAGACAGACTTTGGCTGGTGCTATGGTTGTTATGAAATACGGATCTAGCTTTAGCAAACTAGAGGAATGCCCCTCGGGTGTGCGCAGGTCAGCTATGTCCCAACATCGTTCCCCTTAGAAATGAAGAGAGAGCGACCGCTTCGAAGAAGGGAGTGTTAAAATTAACGGAATTACGGCCATGAGCTGTATAAGACTCCGTCAACGTTTGTATCAAAGTGATTGCAGGAAGTAAATCTACCCCCGATGACCCTCGATCCCAAAAATAGGGCCAGACGTAACCAGGGAGCCACGAACCAACGAACCGATCAAACAGCAGCACGGTGCACCCGAAGGGATGGCGTTATGAACACCCAGCGAGACACAACGTTCACCCGATTTGCTAAGGTCGGACACGCGTCCAGGACAATGCTAGGTCCACGTGAATAGTGTAACATGGCCCAAGGATCGTGATATTTGCACAATTGAGGAGACAACTTTAATAACTAAAAAGGCAACAATGACCGAGAGGCCTGACACTAGTCGTTTGCAGTCATTTCCTCCGAAGAGCTACTGCGGTGGTGGGTTGTCGAAGTTCCGCTTTTCATGGCAGGCGGTGACATTCGGGACACTTGGTTACACGGTCTGCGTCAAAACAATAAGAGCGCGTGGAACCAGCAATCGCGGGTCATCATCAGTGGACATAAGAATGCCCTGCGACCTCAGATGGCAGCCAGTCTGCGACCGGCACTAGAGTTTTGTTTCACACAAGTCTACCCACTAAAAAGCGGTGGTCAAGTTGCCGTTAGGAACAGAGCTGCAATCAAATTCGTTCATTTTGACGTTTAGACATGTATTTACATGTAAGCAAACTGAGATGGAAGAATTTGCACATTATAAAGTTACCGTACAAAAAATACACAATAAATTTACAAAAGATGTCTCCATCGCTCTGAAACTTCAAGCTGAGAGTAGACTTTCCGGAGCTAAAAAATATAAAAAAGGCCACATTTTGATTTAGAAACTTGTTTAAGAACAGAACTCTTGATCCGGACGGGCACAAACAGTGCAGATTCAACATCAAAAATGCAGCAATTGACCCTAGATAACACTCATTTTGGTGATGTACTCATCTGCCGGACGCGGTTCGGCTAAAATTGCGAATAAAACGTCTGCTCGATCTCATTCATTCTGTTTTCCAAAAAAATAAAAGTCTGGCCAATTTGCAAAGGACCGTGAATAAGACCGAAGGCAGCGTGGGATATGGCGGTAACAAGCCGAGATGTATGGGCGATGGCATAAGGCTTTGCAAATGAAATATAAATGTAGAAAAACTTAACAAGGTGGTGGCGAGCAAAGACAAAACATAACTCAGGTGTCTTTGGAAGTAATGTGAAGAGGTCCTTATGCGTACCCATAAGTATTGCTGTTGAGAATCCCACGTATTCTCCTTGTTTTCTTGAAACTTTTCAAATTCATCTAGGTCGCAGTAGGCAAGACTTTTTGGTTTAAATATTACTCCTGAAATGAAAAAAAAGGCAAAGGTAACTAACGTCTCCACGTCTTGTGATTTATTATTTAGTAAGATAGAATATATTACTGCTAAACTAACGCAAATTATTTTCCCAGACAATTTGGATTCCTATCTCACAGAAGGCACCAGATTTAGTTACAAGAACAAAGAACGCGTGTCAGAATACCAATTTTGGTAGAGTGAAAAACAGGCTGAGAAGGCATGAGGCCCCTTACATGGCAGTGTACCAAACGCTTTAGAAAATTTATTGGCCACGCAAAAGGCGCGTCACTATTATTGACCTGTCTGGGTAGCCAACGAAAGGAATTAAATCTGATAACTGGCAGCGCGATCATGAAAAGACATTTTTCATCGCGCAAACACAACTAAAGTTTTCAACACACCTCGATACTTTCCATTTTCTAGTTCTTCGATTCCAGTTTGCAACAAGAATTCGTACATCTCTGATTCTGCTCTAAAAGGACAACAGATGCAACGGCAATCTAAAATACCTTGTCAAACATCTTCAAATTCTAACAAGCGTCTACAATACTTATCCTGGGATGAAAAATGCATCAACAATTTCTCAAATTGAAAAAAAGCTATATGCAAATGGGTCGTAGAGCATTACCCACTATTGGGAGCGTGTAGGAGATTCAAAAATGCATGACGCACGACTAGACGCATTTTAAAAGCAGGTACCATCGCCTAAGGAACCCGCAAATTTCAAACACTGCATTTATCGTCGCACTTGAACTGTCCATTTAAAGTTCACCTTCCGCGGACAGCCAATCCGAAACACAATGCAAGTTCTCATTCACAGTGATTTCAAATGAATCCAACAATGAATGTAGTAATTCAAGCTGTTAAATTTTAAAAGCAACTTACTTAATTTGCTCCAGCCGCTTGCTTTGTTCCAGATCTTTTTGAGAAGATTTTGCCTGAGACTCTTGGTGTTTTTGTCTGGCTTCGCTAACTTGGTTTGACAAGCTTTCACATTCGCCTTGCATACTTTTGTACTCAAAACGCATTTTATCCAGACTTTCCTGAACAACATCTAAGGCTGTCTCCAGAACTCCATGGCGCTTCTTCTGATTCTGCAAGGCTGGAAAAGCAAGAAAATGCGAGATCAACTTGAGAGCATAGGCCTGAGAAGAGGTCGATTTACAACTGGTAGACGTCGTGGACCGTAATAACCCATCGTTTGATGAGGCATAGGCATAATCATATGAATCTTAAGACCCACTGCACTGTGATTAAGAAAGGCTGGTCTTGAGAACCTCATAAATCTCACACTGCTAATTACAATAGCCAGAGTTTTGGAAAACTTGGCATCGAGTCCTAACATTAGCAGAATTAGTGTACTAACAAAAGTATTAAATTAAGCATACCAAGGGTAAGCTTCTCAAAACGCTCTGGAAGTTCACAGTCTAACTTCTTTTGGTTTGTAGGGAAAAGGGAGGTAGCGGACGCAAAAAGCTCCTCGAGTTCTTCAATACTATCACCCATGAAGCACACGACAGCTGGAACCGAAGTTAACTAGGATTAGTCAGTGCACGTCCAATCTCTTAAATCTAACGAAACCAAGATTTACTTGATAAGATAAAGTTGAAATTCACGATTTATTATGGAATTCATAAACTGAAACTGAAATTATCAAAAAAGGGAGATCACATCCTTCAGTGGGCTCCCATGGGTATTGTAAAAGTGCAGTGAGAAGGATGAAAGATTGACAGTGCATCAAACTTGACGTCAAGGTTGAAAGGCACGCATCTAAAGCGTGAAACCCAGTTCTAAAAAGAATTACGTCATAAAACTTCGAGGATAGAATCGCAACCTGAAATAAAGCAGCACACAACGTCGGCCTGCTCGAGCAAAGAAAATGGAGGCACCCACTGAATCAGGGTTACAATGTGTGCCAACTAATACACCATAGTAAAAGAAGGTTTCATGTATTTTGTTCAAAACATTGAGCGACCTAAAAAAGGTGCACGAAGACAAAAACACTTTGATAATACCTTAATTTAGGAATCAAAGTGAGGTGCACAACAACAAGTAAATTAAGCTTCTGCCAAATCCAGAGCATTAAGCATTAAGCTGATTCGCCTAAAAGGAGCAACGAAAAGTTAAGGGTTGATATTAAAAGCTGACAACCACTATGTAAATGGCTGCAACAAAGGCTGGCTTAGAAATTTATGCAGTAATGAGAGTGCACAGTTTGTAACAGACGAACCTATGTCCTGAGATAAAATATTTTGTCATTTCAGACATGAATGTTGAGGAATCAGACTCCACATGTGACTTCCATGACTGATTGCATAATGCAGATTGCCTTATGTCAAAAATTTCATTTGCTGAAGTTTTCTAGCATACCTCTTTCCAGGATCTATTAAGAACCCAGGGTAACGGAAACGCTTCGTTTTGGAATCGTAATATGTTGAGATCACATTTGATTTAGCCATGAGCTCAGTCATTCCTACATTTTTTTTATTTTAATGGCATAAAGAAAATTTAACTTTTAATCAGAGATAATGTCATTTGAAACGCGTTTACACAGTTAGAGGAACTAGTGCGGACCATTACTCCAGCCATATTAAATATATACAAGAGCCAAGCTAATTATCTCTCTACGCTAGTACTGATAACATTTTTAGAAAGTCAGCAGACAACTAGAGTCAAGGATAGATAGGAAGAATCTTTATAACAGAAATCACAGTCAGCAAGACAAACTTGAATTGGCGACGGCCCTGACTGATAGAATATATTTAAAGTCAGTCTAGAACTACGGTGCATTGAGTTGCGCTAAGTAGAAGCGTCTATGAGAGCAGACATGTTAAAGCATGCGAAGTGCGGCTTATCCTCTGCCTCTGTGCGTTTGAATAACTTAAAGAGGTCAGCAGTGTAGCAATTTTCACTTTAGGATACACGAGCCTTATTATGAAGAAGACTGGTAAAACAGACCAGGCTGCACTGACCAATCATAAGCTACGACCATAGATCAGGCGTCATCCATTCGAGTCCACCAACCCGGCCGCGCCTCTCTCACGTGTCTGTTGCTTTCACGAATCCCATTTGAGCACAAAGTGACAGAGAATTGGCCGAAACCTGCGTTGTCGGATATGTCTGCTATATTACAGGCTCAGAAATATTGAATCACGCCAAGCTCAGACAATCCTCTGTCTCTGTGTGTTTGAGTGAACGACGAGGAAGATCTGCAGCCAACCATAGACAAGAATGGATGAGGAGCAGTATATCAAGAACAGCACAGCCAGCGTGGTGAACTCGGATGGAAAGCGCCTGATGTACTGCCTTGTTTTGTGATTGGTCAGAAGAGCCTGTTCTGTTGTAAAAAAGATTTGAAAAAATTAACTGCCGTCGTAGAATCAAAATCGACACTTAAAGCGTTAAAATCATACGAGACTCTACATCATTTTCATGTGTTTATCTCAAAGGAAATTCAAGACTGTCGATTTGTTCTTACAAGTAAAAATTTGCGGTCGGAAAAAGTAACTCATTTTTTTAGTTGCAAACATCAGCATCCTATAAATCAATAAAAGCCCTCTCAGGAGAACTTGCTATTACTTGTGAAAACCTTCAGTTATGAAAATTTTTAACGTCGACGAAACTGAAACTCATCGTTCATAAATTTTGTGTAAAATCCTTTTTGCTCGGTCGAACAGACACAGGTCATTCCAAAAACACGCTTATTCTGCAAAATCACCGAAGAAAATAAAATAGGAAAGCATAACACTCTGTTTTTGAAAAGTAGACATGAAATTAAGGGCCTGTTTGTTAGTGAATACATACCTTTGCTGTATCTTTAGCTTTATTACTTCACTGCACAACGCAATTTTAGTGACCTCTGCTTATTAAAAATCTTCACCGTCAAAATGTCAACAAAACTTTCAAACTTAGGGGTGACCACAAAGCAGAATGATTTGGGTGTGATCTAACAACATACTTTTTCCTAATGGATAGGTATAAACAGTCTCGAGAAAGTCATTTAGTATTTGATATTGAATGCTTTTTTTAATTTACATTTTTTGAATGATATAAAAGGGTTACTGACTACGCTGTACTTCTCATGGACCGCTTATTCATTTATCATGGTTTTTTACCATTTAACTGAGCCAGGCGCGGTAAGACCTTAAAAACCTGCCTTATATGGTAATCAAATGTATTGATTTAACGTTGCAAGTGTGGTACAATTTAGCACTGATGGATTTATGCGTATTCACTTTGAGGCAAGTGAATTAAAATTTAAAAAAATCGCATTGAACCTTTAAGCTCAATGAAGAAAGAATATAAACTCATATGGGATTTACGCTTACCAAGTTTTTTTGTAATAATGTTAAACATGCTTCATATACATTTAAAAGACCTGACAACATTTGCGAATACGCGTGCTAATATCGCCAAAACTCGTATTAGTTTGAAATTCTAAATGATTATTAAAGCTCTATGAAATGATCTTCGGTGAATAGAACATGTCTTTGCCCTCAGTTAATTAAACCTATACGTTTTTCCCGTTGCAAAGTGCGTTTTGAAGTGGAACCCGTTTTGCAAGCAAAACTTAGAGACTCTCCCTGCAAGCTTACACAATAATCACCACCATTCATTGAAAGACAAACACAAGTTTGTTTTTTACAATTAAATATCGCAAAAGGGACATTGTCTTTTGAGAGGTTCAAATGAATTTGTTGTTGCCGGGTGCTTCTCGGTGTACCGAGTAGAAGAACAGTGTCAACATTTGCTGCCTTAGTTGACACAAATGATGTTTTGCAGTTGCTCCAGTCGAAATCATTGTTATTCCATGAACAACTTGACAATACTTACTAGAAGAGATATACAAAAGATCTGCTTGAGTTATAATAAATTTTTAGTTAGGAAGAGTATCAAGACTTTTGTTTGCCACTGATACCTAATCTGAAGTGAATTTTTTTGATATTGCATGTTTATGACGGGGGATAGCACGAAGCTATCAAAACAAAATGATATGAATGGGAAAAATGAGCCAAAACGACCTCTTAGTAACCTCAACAGGATTGTGCTTGTTGTAATGAAGTCGTGTTGAATTATACTAATCAGTTAAACTGGCAAAAATATACATATCTGAATATACAGTAACATTGTGCAAGCATTAACTTAGGTAAGTGTACGGTGCGTGCGATCAAAAGCTGCCAGAGGGGTGACGATGTGTCTAGGAATACAGCGATATTAGACGTCAATCAACATGACCCACTCTAAAGAAATTTCAGTATAAATGTGGCATAGATGACCGGCTATTAAATCAAAATATTGCACCAATTAAATTACACACAGAAAATATATTGACAGACTTAGAAATGGTAGTTTCTAAATTTTAACAATTCGACTTGTTCAGTTAGTTACCCCATGTGCAAGTATAAAACTAGTAAGGCTTTTAATAAAACGTCTAATAATAAAACACATCAAACTTTGTAACTAAGTGCCTTTTTTAACTGAATGAGTGGTTCATCATCACTAATGGGATCACCTTTAGATCAGCCTTTTCAACTTTTTGCTATTTACATCGAATTTCAATATAGAAATCATCATACTCTATTAATAAAAGAATTAAAAAATTGAAGGAATAATGCAAAATTTAGGTCACAATGCTAAGAACTAGAGCAAACTGGGCCTGGTTTTGTATGTTGTTAAATTCTATTGTTTTAAAAACTTGGCCATAGGTGGGGATTTAATTATGTCATCAGCCCCTTTTGATGTCGCATTCCCAATCTAAAATGAATTCTAAATACCTATTTACCGGTAATAGTGTACACAACTTCTCAGTAAATGAGCACTACATTACATGGAGGTGGACCCAAATAATATACGGATCTTTTTTTAATAAGCGTGTCAAGGGTAAACAAGCCGTTCTTTCGATGACAAGCTTTAGATGTACTAATAGAAACAAAGTCCGTTTTGAGTGTCAAACGACTTGAAGTCTCAAGGACTTGTTGTAATTTTGATCTAAAATCCGATACTTCTAATGCAACTGGTTTTATCCTTCGTTGTGCAACACGAAAGAAGTCCGGCCATTGGACCATTCAAACCTGGAATGTTATATGTCATCCGTCCGAGGTTGATGATCGCGTTAGTCAAATTAAGTTGTATCGTGAACTGGCCAGTAAGTGTTATATTTTCATTTAATACTAATTTGCCCCAACATCCGTATTATGCTTGACACTTTGTCATCCAGTTTATGTTTTACTCCACTAGCTGCTCTATATTGTGATTGAGGTGTGTGTGGTTACCTAAGTTTGGCGCTCACTTCACAAATTATTATTGAATTATTAAATGGATAAGCAATGTAGTTTAATGATTGTAGCGTGGTGCATGTAGTTGTGAACTAAATACCATACTTAGTTGCCACTTATTTGGTCATGGGACACGAACCATTGTATTTTATTTCTCACCAATCCTTCGTCGACCCCTACTTGAATTTAAGATCATTTTCCTATGAGCGGATGTTAGGATGAAGGATAGTTGTGCGTGGGCCCATTACGATATGAATCAGTTTTTATCAGGTGTAGCGCTGTATATTCGAATAAACATTCAATCAAACTCCCGTTACATCTTCAACTTAGAGTATTTTTGATGACTTTTACCAAGGGCTGTAATTAATTTGAACCTGTTCACTACATTTTAATTTGGTTTTGCAGATTTTGATAAAACGAAATCCAAACTATTTCGGATCTATTATTTTTCAAAACAGATCGTTTTATAGATTTTGTCATCCTTTCCCATATCAGCCTTTATTTCGATGAGAATCTATCAGTACGATGCATAAAATTATCCAATCAGACTCCCTGGTAATTGTGAGTACATATTATCGGGAATTAAGTATCTTCTTTTACTGTCGATGTCTATTGTTTTGAGATCCCAATAGGTTATTTTCATTGAAATGAGTCTGCTTTTTTTGAGTCGCACCAGAATCTTTAACAGTTAATTTGAAATCCCAGTCGTTGTGAGTTACTCGTCCCTGTTTACGTTAATTAGGCTCGGAGCTTATCCCTTATTTCACAAATATTTTGGGTAGTAGTAGTAGTTTCTGTTACTCCAACTAGATTAATGGTCCTCTAGTTTATTAACTGTGGTATGTACCTTAGATCCAAACCGTCCGAAATCTCTCCTTGTCTTTATCAATCCGTACGGTGGGAAGAGGCAAGCAGAAGTGATTTTCTATCAGACTGTTCGACCGATATTTGATCTGGCCGGAATTCGTTCTACAGTCATAGGTATGGACACCTGCTGAATACTATCCATTGATCCAAAAGTTACTCATTATTGATCTTGTTTTATTGTAGTGACATCTTATCAAGGCCACTGTCAGAAGTACATGCTCACTGAAGATATTCATTCATATGATGGGTAGGTTTAGTTTTCAAAAATATTCGGACCATCAAGTTTGTTTGAGAGTTATAGGTACCGGCAAGTTGACGAAAAATTTGAAATCTTACGCGGTGTAAAGTGGGTACGAATACCCCTTGCCCTTGTAAACCTGTCTACAAAGTTGTCACTTCAACCTATCAGTTTTGGCCTAGATTACTGGGTCAGTAAGGATTTCTTAAGAAGGATTAATTATCTTGACATTGTACATTAGGGTAACGCGTGAACTATATGGCCAAATACTGTAGTTTTAAGTCACGTTTCGAGTTGGTACAGGGCCCACTGTCTGAACAAAACCAGGTCCTCCAAAAAGTACACTTACTCCACACATAATCAGTTCTCTCACTACTTTCGTGAGTTAGTACATTTGTGTTTACATTTTTGTGTGGAACGATTGAAGTGAGTGCATAACGAGTGGGCATATCATACCATCATTGTTAGATCCGCCACAGTCTGTGCTAATATCACATTATATTGTCAGGCTGACTCGGAGGTGTGTATCCCACGATTGAATTAAACCAATCATCGCAAAAACTCGTTTTGATGTACTAGAAAACTACTTAGTAGGTGAGGTATGTTTCCCCTCGTTACCTCTATCTGTATCATTTCTTCTAATCAAGGGGAAAGAATCAGGTCAAAGGCGATTGGAATCTTCTAGTTCCATTGCACTTAAAACGATTCACGATCTGCTTAAATTGAAAATGTCAGAGGGATTGCGCACGAACAGATTATCATATCCCAGTTTGTAACTTGCACAAAGCTTACTGCAATAAATATCACGGAGGGATGTTAACTCACCGCTTGTAGTAGCACGACATAGGTAAATTATGCTGATAAATCCCAACGGTTTGTCAGCACACTTCATTCTCGCTTAGAGGATGAACCCAAATCTGACTTCAATTTCCCTGACATGAACGGCATATAATGTCTGTGATTAACGTTGACCAGTTGTTTAGTGTTTCCGGGAATCAGGACGGTGTTTTTTTTTACCAGAAAAACTTTACTAGTGCAATCGGTACGCAACCATCGTTATCATCATCTGCGGTTTCTGCTTATTAAACCGGCCTCGATTTTAACGGCGATTATTATAGACGCGTGCAGCACATTTACTGGTGTTTAAGGTGATTTAAATACAAACTACTTATCATAACAAAAACTGCTGATCATGCGTGGTAATAACTCCAAACAGCCAGTAAACTGCCTTTTTGTACTTGAAGGGGTCATCTAAAATGGGTTAATAAGGCGAGTCGTCGATGTTTGCCTAATAACGTCTGATACTGCAAACAGTTACGCTAAGGTAAAAAATTAGGCGTGGGAATGTCTGTGTGAAAACAATTAAAATTTTGGCTTGCTGACTGGTTGGTGGTAATGTTCTAGGAAGTCTTTGTTAGACAAGTATCGTTAAGTAATGTGGTTACGTCACAAAACAAATAATTTAGCAGACGAGTATTTAAAGAAAGTGCTGTTTTTTTTTCAAAATCCTAAGTGACTGAGGGTGATCCTCATCGGTGTTATTTAATTTACAATGTGCGTGTAGTGGAACGGCTTTTACCTTTGCAAGGGTACCGATTTAACTGTTGTGTTCTAGACGTGGATAACTTTTCGCTCCATATTTGTGCTAAGTCTTTTCGATAATGAACAACGTCAGAGCACTTTTTATGCGTCCAATTTTTTGCCAAGATCACAACGTAATTGTGTGATTTTTTTCCTTTTCGTCCTCAGCTACTGAATCAGTAATTAATGGTTCCCCCTCTTTACTAATGCGATGATTCTTCCGAAATGAAGTTTTCTATCTCAGATAATCATTGACACGTGAGCCTGTTTGGTAGATTCTTCCTTTGTCCACTAGAATTTACTGGGTGTTTTCAGTTCTGTAGTGCATTTGCTCCCAAATATATTTGATCCCTAACCAAATGAGGCTTCTCTTTGAATGTCCTCCTTAGCTTCATCTGTCATTTGGCGTGACGGAGCGATTGGCTCGAATTGTGAATCTGGGAGTAGTACCATTGCTCTTTTTGTGGTGTGTCACAGAGTCTAATTAGGGTTTGCTTTTACATTGGTTGAACTTTGGCCTAATATCATTTTCAAGCTCGGGCTGAACGTGCACCATCCAGGTTTACAGGTCTTATTTTGTACTCCTGTCCTTTATTCTGAATAAATATAGGCTTTTTCATTGTATAGGAAAGCGGTCTTTCCATGGTTCTTTCCTTCCGGTGTTGTGCGAAGTCCCAATTGTCTGCAATTCATTTTCGATTAAGCTAATTTATTTAGTTTTAGAAGTGGAACTGAGAGAAGAATTCTCTACCTTTTTAGAGTGGTAACAGTTGGCGGAGATGGCTTATTTTCGGAACTCCTTCAAGGACTTTTATATAGAACACGCGCAGATGCTAAGCTCCCTCTTTACGAGCAGCATAAGCCATTCTCCAAAGAGCTAACCCCCCGACTCCGAATCGGACTGATTCCAGCTGGTAAAATTTGCCACAATCCGTTGTGCATTTTGCGCTGAGGTGCCTCTTGCACGGTTCGTTTAGTTGTAGACACCACGTTAGAGTATTGATTTTTCATTTAAAGTGACTGCGCTTACGTGACGCAAGTGTAGTAAGCATGCATTACACGACCAGCGTATCGTCGATCCGCGTCGATGGATAGTCTGCGTGATTATGTTTGGATGGAGTATGTAATGGAGATGACACCGGACAAAGTTCGAACTGTTTTCGGGGACTCACGAGTGAAGACAGCCGGTCTAAAAACGGGTTGCAAGCTGGAGGTGACTAAACGCGTTCTTAATCGTCTCACCTCTCCTGGCACCTGGACGAGACTCTCTATAATTCGGGTAACTGGTCCGGATGATCAATCAATCTCACAGTTTAACCGACTCATTGAGTCTTGGATTCCGGTGTATTCAACTCGAAAGGAATATCCCAAGAGGGCTTCCTTAACTCTCTTAACAAAATCCCATGACAATCTCGAGTTCAGGAAATTAAGGATTTTGCCGCAAGAGAGTTTACAGCCTACTCATGTACGACAAAAAAAGGATGATTCGTTGCTTATGAATAGTTATCTCACCGATTATCGTCGTGTGTGTGATCCAGAAGGTACCTCGACCGCACATGATTTAAGCTCTCGTTTGACCAACGATCAATTTCACACTGATTCGGTGGTCTCATCACGACATTCTAAGTCGAATGGCCATTTAGGTGAAGTACCAAGGCCGAAGCCACGGGAACTAAGTCGACACCAAAACGAGAGCTCCTTGTTAAATTCGCCTCCTAAAGATATGATGGCTCATTCGAAAATAACACCAGCACCGTATTACTCAAATTCTGACGTAACAGATACTACTGATAGACTGTCTGAGCGGTTTCGAAACAAGAAATCATTAGGTTGTGACTGCAATTTACTAAAAGAACCGACGCATATCATAACGGAACCGAGTGTAGGTAAGAGTTCCAGCCAACGTTCTAGCGTTCGGAACTTCACTGCTGAAAGTACGGATCGGATGAAGCAAGTTACAGGAAACAAGGTGTCTGAATCGGAACAAAAACTACGAGAGTCTGCTCGCTTAAGTCTAGGGAAACTTGACAAGAAACCTCGTCAATCACGTTCACTGGACCCACGAAGAAGCTTACCGACAGACTCAGATATTCATAGAGGCCTCTTAAAGGACCCCCTTCCTACTTCAAGGAAGTCAACTAATCAGCGCTTGAGTCAGGTGAAAAAAGGTAATCTTAGTGCGGTGAAATCCAGCGTGGGAGAAAACATGCTTGAACCACTGCCTCAGAGTAGGCATGATGCCATCAGTACTTTTAATGACACTCAAGAATTTTGCGAAAATCCGATAGTGCCCACCCATCAAGACTGGAAGCCCTCAATGGAACATCAAACCAGTAGTATACATAAAACAGAAGTTGCGGTGAACCACTCGCCCATTTTTCAAACCTGCGTTGCTGAAATGGAGGTATATGGTTCCTCTTTCAGTACTTTACCAATAGAACGATGCCCAGAAGAGACTACAGGTGTAGCTTCTACCGTTGAGCAGGACTGCAAGCTCCGAAACCTTGCTGAACACTTGGGTGGTGTTTTGGATGAAGGGGCGACCGTTCTAGCGAATCGTCTTAGTGAACAAAGTTGCTCAATGCCGGGGGCGGAGATTCTGAGCGCCCAGCCTTCCCACGTCACGGACGGCGAAATAGTTGACTCCACTTTCGCCACCTTACCAGTGGTACAATGTCCAGAACAAAAGAAGCATATAAATCCCATAGTCGAAGCTAATTTCGGGGCTCAAAATCTTGCAGAACATTTTAACTACGTTCTGGGCAATGAGGCAACACTCCTACTTGTGAATTGTTCTACCGGTGGACGTTCAGGAAAAGAGGTTGAAATTTTGATAGAGAAATCACACTCAGTACCGACCTACGTCACAGACGTTGGGGCAGATAGTTCAATCGTATCCATTCCGCTAGTGATAACAACTCGTAAACGGGATGAAAATTTGGACCATATAAAGGAGACAAATGACAAAGAACAAAATCTGACTGGCCACTCTGAATGTGTTGTGAATGAGGGGTCGGCTGTTTTGACTGTCAATCGCTCCGAGGTTATAATGACTGAATCACCTGCACCCCCGGCGCTTATCCCAGACACTGAGGCGGTTGACTACTGTGAGTCGTTGGTGTTGACACAGCATCAAGAACAGGGGAAAACGACGAACACAGTTGAGGCGGCGATTCGGGTACAGGGTCTAATAGAACATGTTGACGGCGTTTTAGGAGGAGAGGCAACAGCTTCATCGGTCAGTGGCTTTACTAAAACTGATCAGCCAAACACTTGGAAACATTTAGAAATGGTGGGAATTAGTCCTACACCCACTTCTTTACACTGCGACCCTATCCACGTCTTTTCTGACCATATTGTCATCGCCAAGGCACCACAATATGGTAATCAGAGCCCTCGGGACTGGGCGCTCGAAGAAGGGATAACTAATCCTCTTGATCAAAATGGCCAATCTTGTGAGAAGGATATTTCATATGGACAATTTAAAGGGGGAATTGGAAGCCCGACTTCTCCTTCAGACTCAGAAAATAAACAACCTGGAGTTTCTCATGATGGCCCTGATGCTGTAAACTTTACTAATTTATCGAGAACAGACCTATGTCGTCCTCAAAGTTCCTCTTTTCCAGAACAAGCGACCAGTCCGTGCGATTTACCGTCGCCTCCTTCTGAAAGTGAGATTTTTATCGAGGCAAGCGGTAATGGATTATATTTGGAAGCAAAGTGTTTGCCGACTCCTCCAGAACCTAACCTTGAGGAATTCAGGAAAGATAATGCTGGTATGGAACATGTGGCGAACGAGGAAGGCCATCTAGGAACAGAGGATGCTAGGAGCTTTGAAGATGCAGCCAATAAATCCGAAATCATGACATCTTATGTAGTGAATACCCCCGACGAGTTGTCTTTTAAATCCCTTCAACAATCTTCTGCCTTACCAAGAGGTCTGAAGGAACCAGTTGGTGACGACGAAACTAAAGACCTACCCGGAGCTTTTAATGAAATTGAAGACTATGTGGTCGAAGACGTCACTTCGTCTTATAAAAATAGGGCTCTTTCAACCACTCCACCATTGGCATCCCTGTCAATAAAATTAAACTCTCCGCCTGCTCTTTCCAAACAGCAACCATGGCAAATAATGGTTCAGACGTCACTTGGAGGCTTGAGGGCCACTTCAGTTTCTCCAGCCCAAAATTCACTCCCTTCCCCAACCTCATCCATTCCAGTCCTCAGCTTGAGCCCTGTTGAACCCCCCAGCTCAACGGGATCTGATTCTCGAGAGATTCGATCGTGGGAACTCAAATTGGATCGGCAAAACAGGAGTGCAGTTACCTCGCCTTCTCATTATGATGTCTTAGTCGATATTTCTGCTGCCAAAAGTGATGGTTTTCGGTACAGCAAGAGCGATGGTCCCTCACGAAATCACTTCAACAACGAAATGGGCCATGAATCTAATCACAACGTATCGACGGTTGTTTCAGTTGAACTGGACGATGTTGCCACACAGGAAAATGCCCACAACGCAACTGAGTTAACTAACATAGGACAAATGGAATCACCGATTTCAATTACACTTGTAACAGAACTTCAGGATGAGGGCTGTGGGACAAGTTCACTGGAATCCTTTTACCATGTTGCTGTTACCAAACGTGACGACACTCTACCTGAACTCACCTCCAATCTCAGTGACTCTTCACACACTTATGTGTCATCCCCCAAATCGGAGTCCTTTTACTAGTTACCGAAGGACTACTTTGTACTTTTAAACATTAGAAATGGTTCGAGAATCTTTCTTTTTCGCCGTGGTGTAAATTCCACTGTTTGGTAAAGAGCGTAAAGTGATTTGCACATAAGAGAAGAAAAGATATGGGTATCCTTAATGAAACACTTTAGGCTTATTGCGAGCAATTCGCTTCCGTTTTTAAAAAACCGCAGAGGAAGGGAATCCAAATAATACAAGTGTTTAGATTTCAAAGCCGCTTAAATTATCTGTTATTCGTAGTATAGGTTTGTTTTTCTTATGCAGTTTATATTACTGAAGTACACATTATTCTTCCAACTGAGGTTTCTCGAAAAGATATGGTTGCATTTATCATTCAGGCACCACTCATGCACTGAAAATTTGAGGTACCTGCCGACGAGACCTTGAACAGAAGTATTCTTCTGCCTTGTGAAAAAGCCAACTTTACCTTAAAATCTGCTATACGTTGTACAAAGCGCACACTGGCCCAGTTTGACCGATCAGGCTCTCATCACTCCACTAACTACCACAGGGCCCGTGACGCACAACGCATATGTAAAAATGTTGGTGACACATCAACACTAGGTGACTAGAAGCCTGCCGAAAATGCCCTCTTGTTGTACTTTTTCCCATTAGCACCTACCCGCGGCAAATTCTTCATGAATATGGGTAACCAGAGGTCGTAGTATTCATTGTGTTTAAAATTTGCCATGACAATTCCAGGTTATAAAAGTGTTCGCTGTACATGAACCTAAATGAGCTTTCTGTTATAGAACTTTGGTCATGGGTACTTCAGTTCTCAGGATGTCTTTAAAACAATTGAATTTCCTGTTTCGTTACCTTTAGGTTCAACTAATACAGTTATTCATTCAGTGCACGGAACTGAAAACGTCGAAACTGCTGCTCTTCATATTGCCCTGGGTGAGTGTGTTTAATTTGTCATTCCGGAGAACTCGGTGTATAGATGCCTTTACCCGGTTTCATTTCACCACAAAGCGTGTTTTCCATGAAAGAAATCGAAATTGAGCATCCTCGGATCATTTTGCAAGATCACCTCCTACAGCCTGTTTTGGCTCCAACTAATGTCATCTAAAACCACAAGGGAATTCTTCGTACAATGATTAAATGATCGTGAGCATTGGTATTTTGAAACCAAAATTTGTGTCATTTCAGCAAAGAAAACCAGAAAGCCAAAAAGCAAAATTTTGCACAGCTCGATAATATTTTTAACGAGGCCTGTTCCCAGTCTACTCCCTTTGTTTCACTCATGTAAAATTAAGGGCTTGATGTGCACTTTACTGGACGTGCTATTAAGATTTATGTATCCTCACTTTGCTAGGTCGCAATTCATTCAGACAAAGCCACTTTCTTGGGATCTAGTTTTTTATTGGATGAAATAATGAACTTTTGTCCATTAGAATGCATTTTATGCGATGTTTCCTCTGTAGTGGCTTTGTTAGCACTACCTTAAAACCTCGGGGAGAGAGTCAAGACAGCCAGGTGCCTTTGTGTGCGGATGACAGGCGTCTGATAACATTAATCCATGAAGCAGCGATCTCTGACGGACCGCCACTGTCGTTAAGTCATAGAACCCTTTGTATAGCCTGGGGGCTAGTGAGGCGAATAAATAGGAAAGTGAACACATTGGCGCCTTGATACACAAGGCCAACTCGTATTGCTGGACGTGGGTTCGAATTGACCATTGACAGGGCTATCATCGGAACATCACTGCACAAATGGCATTTGAGCGCGGATCTGAGCATCTGAGGAGGACGTGTCTTTTAAGGTTGACTACTCGGTCGTGACATGTTTGAAGGAGTGTGACCAAAAACACGCAGCACAGGCACCAGGTGTTGTGCTTGCCAATTAAACAGGGAAAGCAGACAGGTAATACGCTATCTCAGCTATAATACGATACAACTGGGGTCGAACCATGTGGTGGGTCACGTGGTAAGGTTTAATAGTGGTGCAAGCATTGACGGTTTCCTCACAGTTTCTGCTCTCCTTTTAGCTGTCAATCCACTTTACAGCTGCCTTAGCAAAAAACAATATTTTTTGTGTAATTACACACGGCTTACAAATACAGAGTGTCTATTTAATTTTCAAGTCATATGACCTAATCACTGGAGTCACCTACGTTCCGTGAAATGGGTCGACAAAGATGTCGTCAGTTACTATGTAAAAACAAACAAACATAATGGTGGGTGGTTGGGAAATCATCGCTTTACAACTCTGAACTTACAAATTTCTAATACGGCAGACTTTATAAAGATTTAGTTTTCTACAGTTGTCCTTCGCTTGGATCTATCGTTTATTATACCGGAATTTAGGTCGTTGTCAGAATGAGATACGAACATAATGTCAAAACAACTTGTCCCATTATCCTTAGTAAACTTAAAGTTGAGTGAAGCACCGACTTAACATAATGACTAGCCTTGTTATTGGACACAATTTTTCTGGATTTAGGAACTATTCTGGTTGTCTCCACTAATATTAAAATCAGCACGGTGCTCCAATCAACTCTTCCTTCAATGGATGCAAATTGCTTCGAATAATTGGACACCTTCGTTTCTACGTTTACTAAAACGGATTACACTTTAGGCATTATTTAGGCTTATCTGTTTCGGCACATAATAATTGTTCATCATGTAGATGTAACTTTTTCGTCCTTAAACAAATGCAATCAAGTCTCTTCTATAAAAATTTTGAGTATTTATCAATAAATTTCCAACGAGTACCTGCAACCCTGCCTTCGCTGCGTTAAGGTTTAGTCGCGTGAATGCCCTGTGGGTGTGAACTGGCTACATACGTCTGCGTGGTTTAAGATCTTCTCTAAGAGGGTCTCAACCTCTGCTCTGTGAATGAAAAAAAAACTACTGAATTTGGTACGTGGTGTCACACCCTGTCTCATTACTAATTTGGTGGCTCTTTAAGCAGTCCTTTCTCCATCACAGACTCCGAGTGTCGTTGCGGCATGTCACTTTCAGATTTGCCACGGGAACGGGGTTCTCATGTGTCGCCTTCGCTTCTAAGCCGGTATTCGAAGATGTCCGATCCCCCCGCAGAGTCGTGTGCGGTTCTACCCATGGTCTTGATCTCGGTCAGTGCTACCTATTGGCACTGTTCCATGTGCGTGGGAAGTCAACTGATAGCTTTACGTTGTTGAACACAGCATGCGAGCATTACCTCTGCCTCCTCTGTTTATTTTCATTGGTATTACTTCAATTAGACGTTGAACTGCAATCAGTTCCAAGTTCGATCCCCGTCCCATGTTCAATAGCCTTAAGTGCAGACACAAATTTAATCTTACTTTTATTAAAATTGTGTATAAGTTGGGAACTGTGCTCCGAACCGCAATGATTTCTTCGTATCCAAGACTCAACTTTGTGGCATGAATGCGGCAAGTACCAGGTAGTAGATTATAAAACGTGCTGCTGCATGAAAAGTTGCATTCAGGAAGCAAAAATCGTTTCACTTTCTAATCAGTTATTCCTTTTCCAGGTCAAGACATCGGAGTTGATGTATTGGCCATTCATGACTTGTCCACAAAGGAGTTTCTGCGCTATACGGTCTCTCTACTCGGTTACGGCTTCCATGGTGATATACTCGACCCCAGCGAACGAATTCGGTGGCTCGGCCCTTTTCGCTATGATGTCGTTGGTAAGGTTGTCTGAGTGTTTTGAAATCACAATTCTTTATGGTAATTGTAAACACCGAAGTCGGGGCTCTGTGATCGAATTGTCATTTTCAACCTCCCTTCAAAAGATTAGCCCACATTGGGATGCGGATTGTCCACCGCCCCCATACCAAGGATTAATTAACGGAATTTTGTTTGGATGGCAGTATTGGTGTTTTTATTTAAGCATACATAGATAATGATTACATTGGACCCATTTAAGGTTCTTTTTTGACTTCTACAACAAGCGTGTGCATTGATCATGTGATTCATATTCATATCGGTTGTAACACCCCCTGTATCAGAATATGAGGGAGTTTTGAATTGCAAGGATGCTTTTTAGGTGCCTTTGCCTATGCTCGCAAATGTCGGGGTGCGTTTTTCTTAATTTGGAGGCCTGGGTTCCCAAATGCTAGGAGTAATACGGTCATAAAATTATCTTTCATTCATTTATGGGTTGATTGCTGTTCGAGGGGACTCGAAACCTTGGCGAAACTTGGCATACAGCCTTGCCCGGGTGTCTTCAGCTGCATTAACCCTAGGTCCCTTCCATCATTCCCTTTCACTGTAATATTTCTTCTCTCCTGTGCTACAGATTTCCATTGTATGCGGTTGCTTTGGATAAAAATACAAACTCGCCCATTATTCCTACTATTCATTATGACAAACGTTCTCGTTTGATTTGAAGTGCAGTAAATTTCACTGATTGAAGTACTGGAATTAGTCCATTGAAAATTTTAGTCTGGTTACTTGATTCTTCCACCTTATTCTGACAACATAATATTCCTTCTCAATGCCATTGTACATCATATGCTTGGTTTCTAGCCCACGCAAACGCTGTAGCGACAAAGTGCCGAAGACACATTCTTAGTTCTAATTCCAGGCATCTGCGTTCTCTATGCTAGCTTGGAGGTTGTTCTCACAAATGTTAGACGTTGAAGTTGTTGATCTCCATATTTTACTCCAGTCTCTTTAAATTTTTGATTACGTTTGCCGGATACACCCCGCATAGTAACAGCTGCAAGGCCATAGACGTTTTAATGGCGTCCCACTTAAGAAAGAAGTTGTTGGTCAAATGGATACGGATCTGGTAACAAAGCTGGTGGTCTTCCGCTTATTCGCACATCTTTCAATACAGAGAAGAGACAAATCCCTTCGTATCAGGGTAGTTCCTATGTCTATAGAATCGGTTCGGTCGTCAGGTTTTGGAAAAGCCACTTTGTTAGATCCCACAGTCAATTTATGTACAAAATAATCATTCTCAGGTTTATTCGCTTCACTAAAAGGATACTTTCAACTCACGCTTAAATAGCCCATTGAGACAAATATGCACAAAGACAAGTGTTTTATGAAACGGATCGGGGTAAGTTGTGGAGAGCCAACGAATGATCTTTCAAAGGGTGTTAGTGTGCTAGTTGGAAGGTCATTTCAAATTCCAGTGGTCGTGTCAGAAGGCTTTTAACAATGGTTTTTGTGTGAGCATCTGGTCCATACCAAGTTCCGTCAGGTTTTGTCTACGTCGGGCCTTGTTATTGAAAAGGCGAGGTCCATCTATCTCGACGTGTAGAGATGAGGTACGCGTGATGCTGTCGAGGTGTTTTCGAATTGACATCTTGGGTGTGACCCCGTCTACAACTTTGTTGCTTCATGGAGATCGGTGAGACTGGACCAAAGATGCAGTAAGGTAAATGAGGTGCGAGGTTTTCCTGCTCAATTCTACCGATTTTTCAGTAAAAAGTTATGAACTTGACCAAAATATTCATCCGCTTTCCCCTTGAAATGTGTCCGACTATGTGTTTACCATTCATATTTGTTTTGCAAAATCATGTTGTTTTTCCTGAATAATTCCAAAGAATAAAAGGATTAACGAGGCAACGTAATTTGCCTTGAATGCAAATTAAATGTTTAAGCGTAACCGGTTGCCTATCCGGAATATTCCACCCATTAAGCAGACTTCATGCAAATAACACCCACACGAACATGTTTGTGTGAATGTTCCTTTTCACTCATCAAAGTAATGACAACTTAAAATTCGGGAATGTCAAAAAGAATTGATACATTGTGAAGCAGTTTCATTTGAAAAATATGGCAATCGAAATTCAATGGCACCCGTATTTTAAATCAATTCACGAAATTACGTGACTAGCCCGTGTTTGAGATTTCGAATTAGGTGATAGTGGGAAGGCGCTTGCAGAAGCTGGATTTTATGCAACACTGCTAAATCACTATCTGTGGTTATTCAGAGGACGTTGGTTGCAAACGTTGGCGTTCAATCACTGGTCTCCAGGTCAGACTTTGTCCCTTTGGCAGGTTATGTGCTCATTTGACGCGGTATTGTGTTAGGGGATCATACCCAACCCTTGACGGAAAGTGCTTTATGGGTCCAAGCACTCCAAGGCACCAACTAGTAAAGCGTATAAATTTCATCAATCTAAAGTCCTGAGAATTGTATGGCCATTAAGTTTGGTTTCACACACATCCATTATCCGAATATGCGTGTACCTCAAAGTGGCACTCCCATTCGCAAATAAACGTACAGGGAAGCAGTGATCACTCGTAAATTCACATCTGTCAGGGGTCTACGAATTTCAACAGTCTGCTTCAACATCCTTTAAAGTGTCTTTGGGATTCTGAAGTTATCGTGCACGAACTGGAAACATTCGTTATTAATTAAAGGTACTCTACAAATTTATATTCACTCTATCGGTGGTATCAACTTTGTAATCAGTCAACTCACTAAACCCCACTTTTTGTGGAATCTTTCGTTTTCATTTCTTTCTCTTGCTTAATCTAAACTGTCCACCTGTGCGCAGACCTCATTCATCTTGTACATGGTGTGACAGGTTTGTTTTAACAAAAATGCTCTTAGGTTGGGCATAAACTTTGCTTATTACTTCCCAATTATCACTGCTTTGAAGGTCCATTGAATAAGCACTAGATTTTATCCCATGGATTATGCGTGTACGCATTTCCCAAATATGCGGTTCTGGGCTTAGGCGTTTGGGAAATCCTTGCTTTCAATGTCGTTGTTTTTTTTATAAGAAAAGTGATTGAAGTGGTACAAATACTTGTTTCCATGTTAAAACATTACTCAATTAAAGTAATTATTCTAATTTAAGGCGCCATTGAATGGCTGAAGTTGGCCTCTTACAAATGCCGTATTGCCTACGTCTCTTCAATCTCATCCACCCCGCTCGACACAGGCATGTGTGCTGCTTCGTACGTCAATATTTTATATCTTGCATTGTCTTTCAGAAGGTTCGAGCAAGAAATGGATTTTAGTAGTAATGAACGCCGGCCACCTGCAGGCGGCGGTTTCCACACTCATTGTAGGCGACAGCCCAATGCAGTCACTTAACCTTCCATGAGACTATGTTAATCTGTTATGGATTACATAGTTCGCCTGGCAAATTGTCGTAACCACTCTTCCGACTTGACTAAACAATCATCCAGTTATTTATTTATTCAACGTGATGGCGGTTTTCCACATTCAACTTGAAATTCAACACCGTTTTTTCCCAACAAAGACCGTCACTTTCCCATCCGATTTCCTTACATTTTCACGTCTTTCAGTGCTTCCTTAGGATCTCGCTGATATTCGCATTCACAATTAAACCACTCCCACATGTTTAGCAATTGGTGGTCCTTCTACCTGGTTTCATTGATGCTCTTGATCCGCTGGTTGTTTGCGAATCATTGCAAGTGAAATCGATTTTACTTCTACTGTGTTCGATGGCTGGCTTGTCTCTCGTTAGTGCATGGAAAACCCATTGATTTAAAAGAAGAACATTGGTCATTAATACTAAGAATATTTATTATTACTGCACATTTTGGGTAATCCTACTAACACCGAATCAAATTTTTTACAAGTGATCATTCGTTGGGGTGAAATTTCACACTTCATCACGTACAGTATTTATGGAAGCGCCATGATCTTTGCAGAAATTTTAAACACCGGTGTTAACTAGGAACATGAAGGCCAAGTTTTTGCGCTACGTCCAACCGGACAACAGCGCGGTCATTTCGACCTGCAACATCAACGCCGTGCTTGCCGTTAAGTTCGTTGGTGCACGAACATTCTGGCATGTAGCCTAGTGCACCAATTTGGCAAGTTTATTCTGTATCACGCTCTGTTTTATGTTATGTATTGAATTTCGTAATATAAAAAAAAATTGGGGTGTTTGGTACTATCTTAAGAGGTTTAAAATTATTATTGTGTTCACCAAATGTGCCAATCACGAATTTACATACCATTCGAAGCATTGAAAACGCAGTATTTGTAGTTAATTTAGTGAAAAATAGCGGACATTTGCCCATGGTTTAAGCTGTGACGAAAAAAGGAAGCTCCTACAAGAAGGTATAATTAATCTTGATGAAAAACCATCAACATTGCCACATTGTTGCACAATTAGGTCTTTGTGAATGGCATTGAATAGACCCGCCTTCATCTATAACCATTCTCACTCATAACAATGCAAGACTATGCAGCTCGGGAACCGCAGGAAAGCTGAAAAGCTGACACAATATAATCTGTTCCATCCTCAGTACCTGCCTGAGTTTTCATGATAGGATTTCCACTTGTTTCAGATTTCGCGTCACTAATCGCAACGTAGATCCCTCAGTAATGTGAAGGCATCGACAAAGTCGTTAACGGATTTTGTTTCCATTAGAAAAGTCGACTTTTCGAAAAGGATCCTTTTGGTGGTAAACGCACTGATTAATCTCCTTATGGGCAAAAATTGCCTAATTTAGCATAAATATCCATTCTCTTGAAGGAGTTGATAGTGCCCTTTACACTACCCATTTTTGAAGGCTCTTTTTTGCCACGTGGAATTAGAACTAGCCAGCTGCAGGTTATAGCCACCGGGGTCCCCTTGAAACACTGAAGCCTCAAATGTTCTTTAGGTGTAATATTAAAGGCAGATCGCAGTGTCTCGTTGATCGTACTCATTAAAAGACAGATAAATGTTGAGGTATTAAGCCGTTCCCTGGTGGCAAACGCCTCTTCAAGGGTGAAATCGTGGTTTTTCTTTTCTACCAGTTGTCCAGTGTGCCTCAAGTTGGATTCCGAATGCGAGGACGGAAATCTGGCAAGTGAGTCGCCTCAGGCGAAAACCGATGCACTACTCGACAAAACGGATGACGATCGACACAGTCCGTTAACCAAGGGTGGAGACGAATCTTCATCCCCCCCTGAGTCATGTCCTCCTTTCGCGGCCTCGTCCTCTTGTCAACCTTGGCACACGTGCTCAGAACCACGTGCGTCTGTGGTCTTTCATTCCATTATTATGTTTTAGCATTTCTGAGCTTACCATTTGCCATTCTTATCCACAAACCAATTAACTGGTAATCTAATTAACGTACAAATATTTGCATGACACTCGGATTTTTACTGTTATGTGTTTAGATACAACCGTGAACGCTTGTGTGGGAGCCTTTTACCTGTTGACGCACTTGCTCAGCCACCGTAGTTGCAGAACACCACACGGCATTCGTGCTGACAAAATGCATCTTTTCCAACTTTATCTTAATCTTAAAATTCACCAACCCACATAGTCTAATTTTACTAACCAAAATAAGCTCCGAAAAGGTAGCACCAAACACTCACGACTATTCCTGCCCAGCCCCAGAGTACCACCCACGAGAGATGCCCGTGGCAATAAGAAAGACCCTGTGGCTCTGCGCGTCTCTCGGTGTCATGAGGCAAGCAAGAAAGGGCTAACAGGAGAGCGACAGGATAGAATTTTTTTCAAACGTGATGGTAGATGTGGACACCACGAATTAAAACCTCATCACTGTTCGGGTAATTAGTTTCGAGCAGGGATAGCTGATTCCATTGTTGGAGTATCCCACTCTACTCATGTGCGTGTGTAAATCATGTTAGATCGTTGGAGAATAGAGGCGAAAGTCAGCATACTCAACACCTGTATTATTTCAGCCTGGGATGATATTAATGCCGCGAATAGCGAGATCGGTGAATTCTCAGAAAATATCGGAAGAAGTCCTTGGCGTGTGACTACGGGCCGATTCGTGGCAGTGAATGCCTTTCTCATCTCCTGCCGATGTAGCAAGTCGCCCTGGGGTCCCGCTCCTTCTGCACACCTTGGCGATGGATGCCTTGATCTTATTCTCGTTCGTCGCTGCTCCCGATATCAGTACCTCCGCTATCTGCTGTACTTGACAGAACGACGCAAGGGGAAGCACGCCGGGCATCTCCGACTGCCTTTCGTCGAGGCGTACCGGGTGTGCGCTTTCCAGCTTCAGGCACTCGACCGAGACGGTGTTCCTGTGGCGTCAGAGAATATTGCAGCACAGGGTACATCCGTGTGGTGTGTTGATGGAGAGGTGCTACGCAATCCCAATATTATCTGCTGGTGAGTTCCGCCTATGTCACATTTCTCATTGGCAACCTTTTGCATTAACTAATTAAAGTAGTAGAACTATGAAGCTTTGCCCCATGTAATTTCGATAGTTCTTCTCTTTTTATTGATTATTTTAGCGTTCATCGCCAGTTGATACGAATATTCGGAAGAGGTCCGGAGGCATAGCAAGGCCCTTGCTGCGCACACTAAACATAAGTAGATTTGTACGCGTCTGTGATGAACTGGTTGTGTTTCGTGTGTAATGTAAAGGCCACAGGACCTGGATCAATCTAGGCTATCCGTAACAAACGCTTGTTATTACCCTGTGTAATAACCACAGTGCTGCTACCTCATCTACAATTAATCTCTTTTAGTAAATTTAAATAAATTTATTTTGCAACACGAAGGGCTTTTTGTTAAAAACTGAGTTGCGGACAAAGCAAAACACATTCATACTCCAGAGGGGTTACTCATGACCTATCTCTAACATTACAGCTTAAAACGGGCAGATCTGAGTGTTTTTGACCACATCTAACTTGGCGTTCATTGGCTAAATGTACCGTTCGGATTCCCAAAAAAGGCCAAAGGTAGCCATAATGTAATTCATTGAAAATAAGAGAAATGACCTCGGTAAGGTGTCTGGCCCAAAGGATTGCCTTTCCGAGTTCTGCTACCCACAGGACAACTAAGGCGACTTCCCGAAGGTGGGGCCATGGCAAGCCGTAAGCTGCATCGAAGTCTGTTTGATGTTGGAGCGGTTGAAGGGCCTGTGATAACGATAAAAAAACGTAATGCTCCGACTGCAGCAGCACTAGATGCCGTTTGCGCCACCAACGTTAACCCCTGTCTATTCACAAACACAGCCACACGCATCCTTGATCTAGAAAAAATGCACTTTCTCATTGATGTACAGGCCTTCCATGTATAATGGCACCACATGTGACGTACCCTGACGCCACAAGCATTGTTTTGCAGAAAACTATACCTTGTTCACGTGAATAGCACACGAAAAGGGGAGCCTTCTTTTATAATTGTTGTTAAGAATGAACTGACACGAATTCGCCTCAAATACGCATCAGTTGTAATATTGCCAATGCTGGCAGTAGTACCAGCTAATTTCACAGAAAATTTTTTTTGTGATAAACTGAATCGATCAGAGGTTCGCAAATCAAGAAGGAGGTTTTTACAGTACCTACCTGGTCTGACATGGAGATTCTCTCACCATTGATGAGCGTCAGCATTTTATTATCGTCCACAACGAACAGAATCCACTGGTAGTTTCGCTTCTCGTCTGCATTAATTACGTCAATTTATCACGAATCCGCTCAACCCCCAAACCCCAATCGGTGTTGCCGGAACACATTTATAACAAAGAATTTGTTAGGCCAATCTCCACCATTAACCCCCACACTTACCACCGTGTAGTCAATTACAGGAACCTCAATTCCAGGGAAGAGGTCTGACACTATGTCCTTGAACAGTGGCAAGTCGACCGAAGTTAGCTTGGCCAGGTTCATGTCGTTCATCGATAGGAGGAGGATTTCTTCGTCATGCATTCCCGGATTCGCGCGCTTCTTGCGACCGGCGTACCGCAACACGGAGATGAGTGCCCGCAGCCCGAAATCGTAGTGATCCTGCTTGCTCAGTTGCTGTGTGGAAAGGCTGTACAATGTGAACACCTTCTTGGCCAGCACCTATTGCACAAAAAGGGCAATGAATTGACCATCTTTAGTTCCGAGCGCTTCGTCTGCAGCTTATTTGAACTGGTGCATTTGCTCAGTTGCACTCGACTTGTGAAGCGTGATGCTGCTGGGAGACCATGTGGTTCGGCAACCTCCAGATCTAATTCAACATCATGCCAGTTAACACAAAAAGTATGTACGATGTCCACCATCTAATCATCTGACCAACCACTCTCGGGACGAATTCACCAAATTTTCCTCACTTGTAACATTGCGACACTTGTGGTGGCATTTTAACTGTCTCTGATCTTACAGGCGATACAATCACTTGACGATTTCGACCAATCCATTGTGCACCCGACTTCTGGATGTCATTCACTGTCCAGATGTTAGGTGCTGACTTTCATTAGCCGACTTTTGCATGTGCTTCGATTTCTGCGAACACAAATCATGGCGTCCCGACACATAACAGTGCAACTCCGTCTAACGGGCGATCGATTCGATGAACGCGACCACTCCACTTCAGTCCCTCCCACCACAACCCGAGTTCTCTCAGTAGATTTATGCCGCAACAAGTACACTTCCTACGGAATAACTTTGCACTTTCAGCCTAATCAACCAACATGATCAAACAGTAAAGTGAGCACTTGTCTGCGTGAGTCCTCTTAGCAATTTTCGCATTTAACTGACCGTTGCTTTACCTTCTGCTAGACATTGCCGAGGAAATCAGACTATCAAATATTGCCTACTCCGGGTAAGAGAACATTTGGTATGGCTGTCTGGTTGCGTATCTCCTCACCTGTGTCAACTGGCATGATAAGTTAACAATGTAGTTTACGTGGACGTTTGGACATTTAAGGAATGAGATACAGATGTGGGAGTGTTGTGTGTTTGGTACGCTGTAAAATTTACACAGTCATGGTTAACCAATGCTGACAGCCAATGGTACAGGGGTTCACATGACTACAAAAACCATGGCTATAACTTTTAATTAGCCTTATAAGCCAAAATTGAGTGCAGGCGTCAAAGTAATTTTGCATCGAATGTTCCGGTAGTAGGCAGAGCATACGATCTGCCATATAAATCCATTGTCATCAAAATTTACCTTGCAGGAGTCGAACCCCTCGGCAAAAAGTGTGATTTCGGCGATCATGGTTGAGTCAGGCACCACCATGGCGATGGGTCGAAACATGGACTTGAGATTGTCGGGCAATTCTGTGCGACCCGCGTATCCAGGATTCATAGTGATAAAAATACCACAAGACCACACTAATTTGATCATTCTGCCCTCGAACATGAAGCGAATGTCAGCTGGTGTACCTTTCCCTTTCGGCATGGAGGCTAATGCTGATAGAACTGCCAAGATTTGCTGCGCCACCACGGAGAGAACCTCTATATTGATTCTTTGATTTTGAAAGAATAAAAACCAGTGTTATGGGATATTTGAAAATTGTCCAGTAAATAATTACGCCATTTCGCTGACGCGGATTTTCATAGTAACTCAATCAAAGTATGGTAAAATGGCTAATATAAGTGTATGGGATTTTGTGTAACTGAAACAGTACTATTTCGACATGCCAATGATGATCCTGCGATGTAAACTTTCTAAAAAAGGGATTGCACTTCGTACAACACTAAATTTTTGACAGAGATTATGGATGTTCAACAATCGAGGAAATTCTGTAAAACATTTCGTTGATCAGCCCTGATAACCCCATGTCGCTCAGGACAGAAAATTTTGCCTGATAACGCGGAACTCTTAGCAGGCTCAAATTGGCCATGAGTTCACCAAAGCCACATATCTGGGCGTGATGAAAATCGTGTACTCACCGATTAAATTCATCGAAGCATCCCCAAGCGCCTGTTTGTGCAAGGCCCGAGAACATGCGGCCCATAGACTTGAAGTCGAGACCATCAGAACAGTTAATTACAATGACGTAGTCGCCAAGATTTTTGCCCAAATCTTTTGTCGTCTCTGTTTTCCCTGTACCAGCAGGTCCCTTTGGTGAGCCGCCTCGATTAAGATTCAGTGCAGTTGTCAGGGTAATGTAACATCGATCAGTCAAGGAAGTAATAACTAGACGGCCCGAATTGCCCAAGTACTCGTAGCCATAGCGGAAACTAGCGTTTGTCTGCTTGACGAAACAATCGTCTTCTTCCTAGGATCGAAAGTGAATTTAATTGACAAAAAATGAAATGATAATTGACTCCATTAGGGTCCATTCTGCAGTGATGACAAAAAGTGAAATTTTACAGGTCCAGAAGTGCATTCAAAAAGTTTATGTTACCTTTTCCCAGTAGAACCGGAGTTGAGCAAGCCAGTCGAAAGAGTTGGTATCTCTGCACCCAGTCTTGTAGAGTTTGTCGATGATGTCTCTCTGATGAACCTCAATTACCACGAGACCGTTAATCTTTAGCCGCTGCATTTTACTCAGATTGGATCGGATGGTCTCGGAGAGGCGGCTTAAAATGGCTTTTTGCTTCTTTCTCATGGTCCTGAGCGGTTTCTTATCATGTCTTCGGCTCACCTTAACATACAACATGGTTAATTATTGTTTACAAAGTACCGTTGACATATTTACAAATTACAACATTAACTTTTAGCGACGGTGTCGCACTTTATGATCGGTTGCTGAGGTCTTGCTGAGGGATTTCAACCAATGTTGGGGCTCTCGGTTTATTGTGATAACACAGGTACGAAATGATACCCATGGTACATGGCTAGGAAATCGATACAAAGTCGCAAGAGTTCGACTGGAGTGAATCGGCCTTAAAGAAATACGAAGCAACGCCAAAATTACTAAGGAAAGCTTACACTGATGGTACCCAAAAGCCACTGCTATATCTTTGTGAGGGGGTTAAACCTACCAAACTAGCTTACTGGTTGCAACTTTCAGGGTTTAAGGGATAATCACCTACTGCGCTCACGTGTTTGTTAAACCTGGTGCAACCTGTCCACCGATTCGACTGAGAGGATAAATACGTGGGCATTAAGAGACACACGGATGCTTAAAGCCAACACGCTTCAGCAAAGGTGATTAACACGAGTTAATACGATTTACCATATGGTCTCTTATCAAAATGGTCACCTGATATTAAAATGCAGCACTGACAGTTACTGGAAATAAGGAATGTGAAAGAGCACATTGCTTACCATGAACAGAGCCCTAGTGACATCGGCCGTCCACTGAATTTGGCTCGTTGTAATGCATACTTGCCCGGACCATTCCTTTACAACCTTTTCCCGCCTGACACTGGCCTTTTTCATGACCGCACGACAATCGCGTGTGAGATCTCTCAGGGATTTTCTCATCTGAGACTCGATCTCTAAGAGCCACATTTCAACAGGGCCATCCATGCGCACACTCTTCTTCCATGGAACCTCCTCTCCGTCAGCAGATATCATTGAAACACCTTCGAACAGCGTATACGTAACCTTAAAATGGAAATTTTGATAACCACTTTGAGAGTCCCCAGTGGTCAATTTCTTCGTCAACAAAACTCACGATTTGCACAGCCCCTTTTTTCCCACCCGGTTGTTGAGTGGCGCTGTGAGCAGCGGGGAAGTCCGCAGCATTAACGTTCCAGTCAATAACCGTGACTGTACTACCACTCCGAGATACGTTATTATCGCTACCAGAGCTTCCAAAGTAGGTTTCGCGCATCTCGCGTCGACGTGCCATTCGCATATTGCTTGATTTACTAAGCCGACGAATGTTGCTCTGATTAATTTCCGTTGGAGCCTCATTTGCCGAGGGTTTCGGATCCTGTTCAGGTCCGTCGGTCACAACATCAACTGCACCACCGGGGGTTTCTTCGTGCTCATCTTCTGTCTCTGGAGGATTTTGTTCTTCCTGTGGGGAAGGTACCTCTTTTTCTGCTGCTGTTGACTCATCCTGTGGGATTTCCTTAGTCTTGTCGTCCTTCTTGTGTGCTTCAGTGGCATTTTTCCGTGTACTTGGAGGCTTGGTGGTTGGGTTTCCTTTACTGATCAGCGGTTGGGCCTTTTTTATAATTTTCTACCAAACAAAATATAAGGGTCACCAGTTTCTAGTTCATCTATGCAATAAACCTAATACGTGGTAGAAAGCATACACGATACCAGAACACCGATTGAAAATCATTTCACTGACTTATCATGGAGAAGTCGCGACACGATGATTGTCCAACCGCATGTATCCATTGCTCATTGAGTTTAAGACCTGAAATTCCCTGCATAGATTCGAACTTGGATCTCCTGACAACAGGAGGGAGGATACGCTACAGAAAATCTAGCCTCGAAGCCCATCGAGTTTAGTTTATGATGGCTTAAATGTCACAATTTTAATGAACAACAACTCTGGACTGCAGTCTGTACTGCTTCAAAATAACAAAGGGATGTGATTTCGTTATTTATTTCTTATAGTAGGAACCAGTTTAAGCATTATTCGGACTCAGCATCTAACTTCAAAATTACTCTTGAAAAGAAATTGGAACGACTTAATCGATATAATGCTATTCACTTTTTGTCTCTTTTGCCATTGATGTCATGCGTTATCGTAGTAGTTACCATCATCACTGAACCAAATCGGCCAGTGGCAATAAACGTAACCGTCATCAGTGTAACTAGTCATGCGATGAGTTTTAAAATCAGCTGGAGTTTGATTAAACATAATGATTTACGTCCATAAACTTTGTCGACGCACTCTCAGCCACCACACCACCTCGTCTCAGCGTCCTCATCTCTCGTGGGGTCACATATGATCAGGCATCTTGCTTACATATCTCCGCTGTCACATTGATCACACACCATATCAATCAGATGCTCGTACTTCTGCTGGTTCATCCAAATTCAAATTTCTGCTGTGCATGTCTTGGAGCCACAAATATTCATGGCATTGTATGCATTACGGTACGGTAAACACATAGACTTCAGGAATCTGGTAAAAGTTTGGCCCTTTTCGTGTCAGGTATTATTCATGATCCCGGTTAAATAGGCCTCTACCAATGGTCTCCCGCACGTGACCACCTAGCTCAACTTGGCACAGCATCAAATGGTGATGCCTAGCTCACTCGGTACCCTCCTCAAGCGGATACGGGAGCCGACTTGGACAAAACTCCAAATCTCCAAGATAGTTTTAGGTGGTGGAATGAGTCATCACGATTCACGTCCATCACTGTCGCCGCAATTTCAGGCACCTAGCCACTTCTCACAGCGCCCTCATCACTCCATACAGACACCTCTTATCACACCCCTGCGCATTTACTCCTATGCTATTCCACACCACATGTCTGTCCATTCAGTTACTTGTACTTTTACTAGTTCATCCTATCTGTATGGGTCAACAACCTCCACTATCCACCCACGACTTTTCAAGCACAAACACGACTGTGTCAGGGTGTCTAATATGCGGTTTAAGCCCTCTTTCTCCTGCCCTGGACACCTTTTGTCCTTTTAATGCCACTGTAATGGAATGAATTTTGATTTGGCTAAAATAAGCTCTCGCTTTGACATGCACTGATAAATCAAAATTCACCCTTCGACAGCCAACCATGATGGAACGTTTCGAGGTTTCAAGGTGAAAGGAATTGTGGTTATTGAAATAAGTAGAACAAGTCGCTGGCAAAACAAGGGTAAATAGGTGAATAAATCCAACCTTTTCTAGCTTCAATGTGTTGATGTTATCGAAGCATTTCTTAAGGTGGGGAATAACCGCTTCTGGATTTTTGCCTTGGCCGAGTATTTCAAGCAGATCGTCGTTTGAAATAAAATAAAAACGTGGGAATATCTGACGTTTCGTTTCGAGAAACATATCCAGGGACTTTTCGATGATTTCAAACTGTTCGTTCATCTTTATAAGATCTTCACACACCCCTAATATAAATCACAACACCATTAAATAAATTCCACCAACCGGTTTAAATTGAAATCAAAAGGACCAGAAGAAACCCACCTTTTATATCTGCGCATTGTTGAGCATTTTTCACATCGTTTATAGATGTCATTATCCGCTTCCACTGGAAGTTAAGTTCATCGAACAGTGTTGATTCCTTTGGTAATTGCTTGCGAATATCCTCGCCCATAAATATGGTTTCCATATAGAGCCACTGACGTTGAACCAGCAGTAACAGCTCTGTAGTCTCAGTAATTTTGGAAAGGACACGCTCCCACGTGTCAACTTGATGCTCAAATGGCTTCACGAAACGCGACGCCTTCATTGTCGATAGTTGAACCTAGGAAAAAATAAAGTATTTAGAGGTCAGGGTTACTAGCCACCTTACTTAATTTTTACACAGAACTTTGGAAAAAGCTGGGAAGTACAAAACCATGACCCGCGAAAAGCCTGGACACGCTGCGATCAAAACGATAACGCCGTCTGAAGTGTTTGTGCCCCAACGCAATACCTAGACTAGGTTTAGAATAATTAAATGAGAAAGGTGGGCCAACGCCTAGGTAATAGTCACCATCAAATGCGAAAACCAGACAGCAACACCGTTGTTTTGTGTTTTGACATCTATCATCTTACTCTTTTTGCAGAAACGTGTTGATTTTGAAGTGGTGAAAGACTCGGCATGGCCTAACATAAAAAGTTCGATTGTTATCATTAACCGGTCAACTTCATTGCTTGATTTGAGGTCATGAAGATGCCAATATTTTTCCGGGCTTCTTACGGCACAAGTGGTCTGACACGCAGAGCACCGTTTTACTACCATCTCCGTTCATCTTCTTGGACTGACCACAGCGAAACGTGTATGCAATCAGGCTCACAGTTTTTGTATATTATTCAGTGACGTTACTCATTATATGACCATCGTTGTTAGGCTACTCCTAACTCCATAATTCAATGTCACTGGCTTGGTAATCTTTTAAAAATTGACCTCATGAACTATAAAGAATGCCACTGGCGCGAGTTCCTCACCTGATGATCTTCAAGGGTATTGAATAGGTCCTCGGTAGACCTCAATCTGAAATGCCCCCTATCTTTATGAGGCACGATACTATATTCAATGGTAGACCAGATGGTTTGAATTTTGTCCAGGGACCTTTCAATGGCCAATTCTTTGGTGGCTGCTTGTGAGAGCTCGCTTATAAAGACAGCGTAGCGGTCGAAACCGAGGGTCATTATTTTCTCTAGAGTGAAGGTTTCTGAAGTCTGGTCAAAGTCCCTAGCCATCTCTTTACGAATGGCATCCCAATGACGCGGTCGCATGGCGTTGTTGCGAAGATCGGAAATCAAGGGGAGGGTTCGTCTGAATTGATCAACACGATCCTTACTGGCATCCAAGACCTCCCAACGTCGGTTCTTTAAAAATAAAAGCCACGTATTAATACAATTCTTCATATATAAAAAAGGTCGGGAGGGATATCAAACCAATATTTCCCTGCACATAACTTTCAGGATCCCCCTCATTTTGAGGAAAATTTGTCACGCGTGAGTAAAGAATGGCACCATTTGCGCGTCCTTGACCCATCAGTGAGACCTAGTAAATGGTCGTGTTATCATCGCTTCAAGTCTTCTGTTCAGCTTGGAGTCCAGGCATATCGTACATGAACAACACGAAATCAGTGTTCCTGATATTATATCGAGTCCCAACTACCAGTCTCTACAATCGTTTTATTTAGAATCGCAAGTCGCCTTTTGTCTTAACATTTTATTTCTTGACATGGACAATTCGCCGAACCTCACATTATGGGAGCTATTATTCCTTTTGCGTTTTTTAACAATATGGCTAATGTTGTGCATGATAACAACGGTGGATCTGTCCTGGTCACCTGGATGCATTTACCATGAACTCTTGAAATCGTCCGTGACAATTTTTAGAGATCATGTTACCAATGCCGCCTAGTAATGCACCGAGTTCTTCTGAAGGAATGATTTTTACCACATAGAACCTTTGTTCTACAGAAATTGACCTGAGATATTCGTAATTAATAATCAAATTTGTTTAAATGCCTCATTAGGTTTCGATTAGGGATTATAGGTTTCTGAACCACCGCGTACCGAGGGTCGAATGTGCGATTTAGAATTCAAGGAACGTCTATAAACTGAGTAAAACTATGGTATCAGCGCTGTTAACTTACTTTGTAATCCCGAGCAAGGCGGGTAAATTTTCGGAACGTTGCACTAGCTAGCGCCTCCATTTCCATTGTCTGGAGATCAGAGAACTTGCCACTCTTCCACTGAACCCAATTCGCCTCCCATTCTTTATTCATGTTCCAAATTTGTTCCAAAATGTCCAACTCCTTGACATCAAAGAATTGTTCGAAAGTGAGGCTGTGTGAAATCTTAAATACTGTGTTGTCGCAATAATCAAAACTACATCGAATGTAACTACTTTCTACGAGAAAAGATCAGACAGTGTTCTGGAAATGCAGCTAAAGAGAATGGTGTCTTTTCGTTGTTTTTCGATTTATTGAAATAGGAATCACCAGTTGTAATCTAATTTAACTCTTTGATAACGCGTACACGCTTCTGATGTAATTTTGAAATATGTCATAAAGGCGGTAAGTATGTGAGTGGGTAAGTAGTGATAACCTCTCGGTCGTCGAGCAGCCATGAATGGATAACAACGAACCAGTACTTTAGTTGCTGCCCACCTTCCCTCCTAAGTAGTTAAAGCTTGAAGAATATTTCAATTCTAGCCAATATGACAACTTTACATGGAATACTGTCCTCTTTAGTGAATGACTAGTAAGATCCTGTGCACTAGTCATAGGTAGATACTTGAAAATTTCACGTGTAAACATCAATTTACCTTCTGTATGAGTGTGGTCTCTTTGCAAGGTGGCTGCTCAATTTTGAAGATGGTTAGACCATTTCGAATTTCAGTCTCTTTTTCAAGCAGTAAGCCCAGTCTCTCGCTGAAGCCTTGACAGATCTTCAGTGCGTCTTCTGGTAAAATGCTGAATGCATGTGGGCCATTAGCCTGTAGCTCGCTCAACAGACTAGCTATTTTCTTTTTCACCTTGTCCGACTCTGCAAGCAAGTTTAGCTTGAATTTTTCTTTGGTTCTGCGAATCATCTGAAAAGTCACACATGCGTATATAAAGTCTGACACCAGACTATCACCATTTAAAAGGTTTAGATGAGAAACCCCACGATTTTTTGCGTATTTGGAAATCCAAGAATCCAAATCCAAAAATCCAAAGCACCAATGAAAATAGCAGCAAAGATGCTTGAATACTGAGTTCTCTGAAAATTTTTTACCGTTTAATGGCCACAAATTTCGTGACCAGCAAGGCAGAGGAAACATCTAACCGAAACTTTACATGCCTGTGTAATTATGACAGGAACATAAAAACCTAATTAACGCCATTGCATCCTGGGTTCTCCAGAAAGAAGTAATGGTCTCTATTCGTAAACCAAAGTAAAGTGAGACAAACCTCTTCGCAGTTGACTAAATTATCCTTAAAATTGGCCCAATCGGTGTGTAGATTTGATCGCCTCGTGACCACCTCGTGGGCATAGGTAACTTCACATTTATCAAGAATAGCGAATTGCTCTTCTAGTGGTGCAAATTTCGCCTCCACGTCAGTTTGCTCATTGACAACGGTCTCCAGTAGACGTATCGACTCGACGAGTTCGGTCAAGGACATAGGGATCTGAGACAGTCTACAAATAACAGTCTGTCGATAGCAAATTGCCGAATGAAAATAAGTTATATTTTAATGAAATAGAGTAAATTTTCAACCCTGTAATTTAGTCTAAAGAGGCACCGAACGCTTTGACGAAAAGCTTACTAACGAAACCTAAGACAGTCAAATGGGTGGAATAAAACCTCAGTTCGGGATAGAGGAATGAAGAAGGCAGTAGTAGCACCGTTTTCAGATATATAAGAATTAAGGGTGTGTTTTCGCGAAACGAGCAATGCAGGTGGCCGCTAACCTTTTAGTCATGCTGTCCATATAATCATAAATGCTATTGAGGTCTTCGACAGTCATATCCATTAAGAGGCCTATCAAACGAATTTGCCATTCGCGACAGTGAGCTCCTATGGCATTCTTAAGGAGACTGAAGTCGAGTTGTAGAAAGCGCACCGTCACCATTGCTTCTGCGTCCATCACCTTGTTGGTCACTTCAGTGTACCTGGAAGAGAGCAAATCACACCAGACCTGGAAGTGCTACACACAGCGTCGATCCATTCATTATTAAAATCAAGCCTAATGAATCGGCAGAGATTTGTACGTGTATAGCTTAACACTTTAATGTTTAAGAAAAACACTTTTGCTAACCAATATGAAAGTCATTCTCATATCACCCGCAGCTAAGCCTACAGTGAAATCCAAAGCAAGTAGTAATTTTATTATGGACACGACTTAATCATTTGTTTAGTTAGAAACAGGGAACGCATGTACCACGAACTTCCTCGAGTATTGGTTTATTAAGATCGCAGGTATAGGTTTGATAAAGCGTTGATTATGTTCCTAATTGGTAGCGAGGTCGCATAAGGCTCGACATATAACGATCTGCTCACTACGTTGCTGCAGATGTTCCACCGGAAAGCCTTTTCAAAATTGAACTAGTAGCAAGGACTTACCTGGAAATGTCCTGATTAATCGCAGAGGCATGGAGTTTGACTTGGCGGTAGCGACTAATAACTTCATCCTTGGACTGTTCCCAAATCTCCCGGAATTGATCCCAATAAGTCAGCGGATCGTGCACAGGCTTAGAGATGTCTATAACTCCACGCTTAATGCTGTCTTGAATTTTTAATATTTCTTCGTCGGCTTCTACTACAGCTGCAATGGACTAGGAAGGTACAAATGATATTGGATGAAGATGGCTGACGTGAGAAAATTCCGAAAAGCGGTCGGTGCTGTGTCCCTAGTCATGGTGTTCTCATCCTATCGCATTTTACAGAAAAACTTAGAAAAAAACCCATTTGGTCGGCATTTAGTTTGTTTCGGACAATTAGGGACTAGTCTCTTCAATTAATGGACTAGCAACCAGTTCAAGTGAAAACATATGCTTCAGCCAAGTGGCTTCGAGTCCGCCAACGCAGTTGCACTGCGCACATTTAAGGCAGTTGAGTTTGAGGCGAGGTGGAATGCTTCTCCAGCATACAGCATTTTGAGCGGAAGGAACGTAACACTTATTGGGTTTTTGAGTTGGGACTGCATACTCTCTTAGGAAGACCGACAAAGTAACGACACAAATCGAAGTACATGCCTGTATTTCGTAGAACATGCGTGATCCGATTTGTTAAGCCAACAGGTTTGTCTAGGTGGATACTTCAAAAGCTGGAAAATTAAGGAGATGCGAAGGGAAATTGAACAGAACGATGTTACGTATAAATTCTTCCGGACCATCAGTTTGGAAAAACAGGGTGGGTCAGAAGCAACCAGGCGGTGATACCACGCATTTTCTCAACTTCACTGGCAGCTATTTAGGCGGTCGGACAGTCGATTATGTGATTTGCGAAGTAGACAACATGAACATGCGAATACACAGACCTATATGGGATGTGACAGTTAACCTGATTTACCCGTTAGAAATGTGCAGTGAAGTGTTTCGTTTTCGGGTAGATGATAATGATCATCGAAAAAGTTCTTTTGTGTCTTTTAGTCACTCTGTAGGAAGGATGACATTAACCCAGAGCAGATTAGTTTTAGTGGTGAAGCAACGTTCAGGTTAAACGGTGGAGTCAATCTAAATAAACCTGTGTGCGAAGGATGTCAACATCATCGTTGTTACAGTTTGGTGCTTGGTCTAAACATTATGCTCTGATGGAACTATGTTGTAATGCAGTATTCCATTACAACACTGTTGCGTGAAGCTGACTTGAGCAAGTTTACATAAATAGATTAGGCGTCGTGTTTCTATGACAACTTTCCTTTTGTTCACCTGATCTTGCATCTCTGTGAGTTGTGTTAAAAAACTCAGCAACCAACCGGCAACTTGACGCAAATATGGTTCAACGAAGGCTTGTACCGACTTGTATGCTAGTTCATTCTTCATTGAACTGCTAAATACATTAATGGACGCGCTTTCCCTAACTTGCCCCTTTTTCGGTGTCTATCATGTACATTAGGGCTAAGAGTTTGAATTCTTGGTTACGTATGGCTTATTCGGTATATTGGTTAAATTGAAATAATTTTGATTAAATTCAATTGTTCGTTTGTTTAATAGAGCATCTTCCAGTTACGTTCTGTGATATTCTAAATCATAAGTGACATTTCACAAGCCACACTTCTGCTATTAGACCAATTCCTGTGGCGTTTACTTTTGGACGTATCAATGGCATAAACTTTTGTCAGTGGTGACTAATTAATATTAAAAAAACAGCGAGCATACCAACGTGTCAGGGGTCTTATTTTTTGTCAAAACTGAAGGAAGTCGGGGGATGTTAGCAAAAGCAGCGATCAGATGACTGCCAATGGAGACCACAATTTCCGTTAGCCTGGGAATGGTTGGCAAGAAAACGAGAACTGATCCGTCCAGGTTAAGAAGAATTTTAAAGAGTGGGTTTGGTTCATTTCGACCATCACCGTTGATGGCTCGTCTCAGGTCGCTCAAAGACAACTTAACATTCATTCGGAACGCCTCTTGACAGTAACGATCCATTCGTTCTGTGTATCTACATAAATAAGAAAAATATAAAGAATCGGTTTTCTTTTGCTTACACCTAGCGTTATTAGCAGATTTAGTTCTTAAAACCAATTCAACTCGTACTGAGCAGGGACTTACACACAGACGGCACCTTTTAACTACCGGCTCTTGATAGGGTTGTGGATATCTTCTGCATAGCGTTACTATAAAATGGTTCGTTTTGATCAATTTCAAGCGACTTAGTCTGACTTGTTTGGGCCTAAATGAGGAGCCTTTGATCTATGCTATTTACTTGCAGTTCTAACCGATGGGACGTTGACATTTACGGTTAAAATGGGAAGTAAGTCGAAATACACATTTACTTACGAATACCAGTGAGCCTGAACATCTGGATTTTCTGACACGAATGTTTCCTTGACCTGCGACATTTTTTGAATAATTTCCTGGTGTAGGGAAATCAGTTTCTTTGCCGTCCTCTCCCGATGGTTAAGCTAAAATTAAAGCAATCTCATGAAACATTAGTTACTAATTCATAAACTTGTGAGCCTTTTATTGATGTTGTTTCGGATAAGTACGCCTGGTGATTTTCATAGTCGGCGTCTTTGCGGCTTTGCTGAGGTTAGTAAATCTTGCATCTGTACAATATATGTGTTATGTGCGAATTCTCTTGGATTTAGATCAATTTTAGTTCAAAGTAATGAAAACAAGCAAATTAGGATCAAACACTTAATCAAGGAAATGGTTAACGCTTCAGAAAGGTTTGGACGCTTCTACAAATCAATATTACTGAAATGTTGCGCACTAAATCAGATGCGACCCGATTTGAAAAATACCAAACTGCACCCTGGGTTAGTGAACGCTGGATTATCATCTTTGTAAAGCAAGCTTCGGATGAAATGATATATCGTTAGGTAGTCTGCACTAGCATAGTCACTAACCATAACACTTGAGGTCGCAGATTTGGAAGACCATGAAAAGTATCTAGAGCTCACAGTCTACACATGAAAGCCCGCAGGTTTGGGCATCTTAGGTAGAAATTTGGAGATACTGAAGTTAATGCAGGTGAGTGAATCCCATTTCAAACCAATGCTACACTATCATTTGAAATACATTGCTCTAAGTATGGATGTACTGAGTGGAGTTGCGTAATTACCTGCTCCTCATGGAAGTCGTTATTTTCATATATTCTGCCAGGTTCAAGGTTCAGTAGCAAGGTTTTGGCAATGAGTTCGCAATTCTCCCGGATGTTTGCGTTGGCTGCCTTATACTCGTCCACCTTGCCTTGCAAATTGCAAGTCTGCAAGCGACTGTCATTGATAAAGAACTCAACCATGGACTTAACAGGCCACTGGATTTTCACAAGGCCGGGAGCAATCTTCTTGTCAAGAATCTTGATCCGTTCCTGAAAAAGGGCTTTTTCCTCGGGGTTGAGGGCGTTTATGATGCGGTTGTATTCCCGCACGAGGACCAGAACGATCTCTCGTAGGTGACGAAGCTCTGGCTTGCGGCGATGTGCCTCGGCTGCGTAGTGCGGAACCTCTATGCCTAATCGGACCCAGTGGTCTAACTCGTTGTTCAACTTAAGAATGCTTCCCGAAAACGTTGTCTCAAGTTGATCGGTTTTAATTAAACTTCGAGTAAGAATTGGCACCTCCAGGCATTTCAACGGATCCTGGTAAAAGGCAATTACTTACTAAGTGACGCCAGTGCAATTTCGAAACTTTGTTTTAAAGCAATTGATGAGAACCAGGTTTTAACGTTTTAGCATTCTACGTCAATTGTGATGAATTCGAAATTTTACCATCACATTTAACTAGAACGCTTCAAGCTACATTAAATTAAACAAAATTGTAAGCTGAGTCGTAAATTTGTAAGAAACCTTTATGCATGCGGCATTAAAAGTTGTTAGTCAATCTGTTCCACGTTCTTCTACTGATGAAGCAACAGAAGAAACAATAATTCCAATAATAGCTTTGCACCATCCGAATTACTACTATATTGATACCCAATTAGAATTTATCACTTAGAATAATAAGAAAAATCCTTTTGGGACTCACAGACTCAATGGTATTCATAAAATCGTTAAAAACTTTCCGCGTCAGCTCCTCAATACTCTGACAGATTTGGTTGTAAACGCTTCGTTGCTCCTCCATGGCTGTAGCTGCGATCGGCATGAAAAATGCTAAGTCCAGTTGCTATTAATGTACAAATAATTCCCTTCAGTCCGTTATGAATCACATAAAGAAGTGAATGTGCTGCAACTTACGCTAATATTCTTCTCGAGTCGTCGCCGTAAAAATCTCCAGAAAAGACCCTTTAGTGCGAATTTCGGTTCACGTGGCCTGGGGAGACCCATGAAAGGACGCACTACCATCTCATGCTTCACTTTCACTATACATTCGAGGAACATGTCCACAACTGTATGAGTGCTGGTTTCCAGTGTCCGACGGATGGCCTGACGCAAAACAAATAGGCCTAATGCAGTGCTTATTTGGTTTGAATTAGTTTTAATAGGCTGATATATATACATTCAAAGAAAACTATGCTTGAGTAATGTGGACCGTATATTCAATGGTTAATTATAGTGAAGAAAAGTCATCATTAGTTAAAATGTTAAGGCCTATAGCATTCAATCAGTCGGTTAATGATGCAAATCAAGGTCAATAAGTGACTAACGCCGAACTTTATGGCAGTTATATATCCAAAAACAGCCTGCTATCTAACGTATTCTAAACAAGATTCGATCTTCGTTGAAATACCAGAAAAAATTACCTCCCTATTTTGAAGGTGGGAAAATATGTCGAGAACTTCCACGCCCTGTTGAATTGTAGTAACTGTTTCGAAAGCCAGGTTGATAGAATTTTGCATCATAATTTCGAGGTCCTTTATCCCATTGCGAAAACGATTATACTGATCGTGCCAAGAGGTTGCCTTTACATTCAGGATGACGGCTCGCTTTTCACTGAGTTCTTTCATGAGCTTAGAAAACATGTTCTCGATTTGCAAAAGAAGCAGCTCTACTTCTGATCCCTTTGCACCCTGGAAGATGGGTATTTCAACCTGGTTACCCTCCTCAAATCGACCAAAATCGACTTGGCAATCGCAAATCTAGGGTTGAAATAAAGGAACATAAGAATAAGTTATAGTAACATTCGTCACTTTGTGCATAACAATAAAGTTCCCGACTTGGAGTTTCATTATTGTCAGATCCCAGCATTAAAGCACAGTAGGTCAGGCTAAATTGTTCTTTAAACAGGGAACCCACCTCAAGTAGATCACTGCAGCGTTGGATAAAAGCATCAATTTGGGCGAAGATACTTCCATCTTCGGTGTCCCAAGGTTTACCCGAAAACTTCAAATGCATGTCCTTTAGATGCAAGTATGTGGACCTGTACTTCTCACAGCAATTGATACATTCCTTAAGCCGGAGCGATGCTGATCTAACCTTCCCAAGAAAAATGTCGTCTAGGGAGATTACACTACAACATCGAGCGATAATTTCGTTAGACACCTTCCGAAAGAGCCCCGTTATAATATCTTTGGACCTGTAATGCTTCGAGTTCGTCCATATCATCCGTATTTGATTAATGATTTGTGGCAAAATCGGCGGAATTTCATCAGGCGTCAAATCGGAAAGAGTGATGCAAATATCTTTCATGGTAAGCAAGAACTTTAGATTGTCTTGGGCTTCAGACGAGTTTTTTTTAATTTCTTCGGAAAGGCGAATGAATGCAGTTATGTAAGATGACTTTGCAATTGTGAGTATCTGCACGATCTTGATGATATTTTTGTTATCTAATTGCTTGCCGATGCCGGTTAGATCGTCACAGCGATTTTTCCAGTACTCAATCTCATTCAACGGCCCTGTCCCCTCATCTTCATCTAGAGCACTTTGGGAGTTAAGGACTTCTTTAATTTGTCTAGTCCAGTGGATAACAATCATCTCGAGGCGACTGACGAGGTCTTTATTTTTTGCTTCTACTGCTGATGGAAGCTTGAGACCTTCATGGGGAACATAAAGCACTGTTTTCGCATTTAGCTTCCACCTCGTGTCTGTGAGAGCAGACATGAACCGATGTAGTTGCAAGGCAAAGTCGTTTTTTATGCTATCAGGCCACGACTCGTTAAAAAAGAAAGTTGGTGCATACACTGAAGCCATGACGCGAAGTAGGCTTTCGATTCCTTGTCCTATAACTGAACCATTCAGAACAGTTCTGACAAAATTTTCCGATGTAATCTCGTTGTTGATACCCTCCCGAGTACGAACAAAATAGCAAACATCTCGATATGCATTTACTGGAACTCCTGATCCTACGTTAAGTTCTCCGTCTGGAAGCATATTAAAAAATATGGCGTCGGCTCCATTCGATGGTACAAACTCAGTTAACACAAACAATGTGTGTTCGTCCTTCCAAGCATCCTCTTTGTAGCCCTGTAAGATTATGCGATTTCTGATCATGTCCTCTACAGCAGGAAGAGGGCTGACAAAATCTACTTCTGGAACATTTTCAAAGCTACTGAATTTTAATGCTTCTTTATATGTATCACCATTTGGCTCAATACTAATAAACTCGTCATATGGGCCCAGAAAGATTTCGGTTCTCTGAGTGTTCTCCTCGGGTGGAGGATCATCTAAAATAACAAAAGTTAAATTAGCGAGAATATTTTGTAATGGTTTGTTCGATAATCAAGGGTGTATAGACTATGTACACCTGGATCTCACGAATATGCACAAATAAGGCAGAATTATATTTTAGGTTTGACGTGGATGGAAAGCTTTCACCCACCTTAACTTTTTTTGGCCAGATTATTTCTTTTTTTCTTAAAATTAAAGTTGGGGTTGAAAGTCTTCACTGTCTTAGGAAAAAAGTGCTTGACCAAGAATATAACACTACCTATAAAAACGCGCGAAATCTGTTGACCTTAAACTAGTTCAAACAAATTTTTTTCGCCTCACAGCAGGACATGGTTGCCATAGAAATGATCTCTTACATGGTCCGAATGTTCTAATGCAACCAGATCCTCTAAAGTCTTGTAGTGGACTGACAGCCACCTCGGGTGAGTGATGCGTGCATGAGAGCCCGAATGGACCAATGACTCACCCCTTTTGTTATTGGCCTGTCAGCATTCGCCTGTTACGCACGCGTACTCATACTCTCACAAAGCCATTTGGCTGGTTCGACACTAATAAACGGTCATGTTCTCAGTCGCCACTTTTCCCCTTTTCCTCAGGTAGTTTCGGGCTGTTAACTAGAGGGTTGTAAGGTAGTGCTAAATTCTATAGCCGCTAGTCTTGCCCTACGTTAGAAACACATCACTTGTATGGGATTCATCCAGTCAAATTATGGTCGCCAAATTTTCAAAACTCGGAAATTGCCCTCTGAACCCTTAGAAGTGTTCAAAATGCAGAGCAAATAGATTGGCACAACCTCATATTTGCTTCATAGGATTGACATGTTTCATTAAATAATGTACGTGCATATACATCTCGTATGATCTATTCTTGGTGTCAAAACAAAACATGCTCAAAATTAATTTTTGGCCCTACAAGTCAAATGGCGCGATTTAGTGGAACACGGGAAAGTTGACAAACAAAATCCCAAGCTCTAATGCAGATCATAAAAACTTTTGATAAAAAAAATTAGTTCAAAATTGCCAATATTTAGATAATTTCGGTTCTAAAATTACTCCTTCACTGCAGACTAACCCCTGTAATTGACGGCTCATGTGACAAGCTTCAATAAAAAGTTTAGCAACAAATCTGAAGATTGATGAGAGCAATGAACAAACACCATAGTCAGGTTATTTATATTGCTCTGAAGCTCCAATAATGTTCATCTTTTTAAGTGTCTTCTTTAACATAGCTAAATATCCTCTTAATGTGCACGCTAAGAACGAAAAAATGAAAAGTCATTTACGCTTTAGTTTAAATTTAGCCATTAGGTAACCCAAAATCCAATTATAAGCTGAACATTTATGAGATTTTTCCACCAGTGCTTGCAAAAGTTCCTTATTAAAAATAAGCAAGCTACGTTGAAATTAAATTTTTCGATTCCTCTTTGACGATTTGTGCATTGTCTCATTCAGCGGGCTTTACAATTCCGACATCTGGTCACGCATCAGATACTAATAACAAGCAAATCCAGATTTTTTTTTCCTCATTAATAAAAACTTTTTAGTTATCCGAATAATCAAAGGAAGTATATCTAATTTCTAAATACAATAAAATAATGTCAAAAAGATGTGTTCAGCTGAATAGTATTTACGAAACTAAAAATTAAAAAACCGGCAAATACAGAAACTTAAATTACGTCTAAATTAAACAAAGGCACAACTTCTAATGCTCTACAACTTTTTTTCGATACTCATGGCAGGTGTACAAAAAACTGAACAGACTCGACAAGCCGCAATGAGAATTAGTAACCTGCTCAAAACAGTGATATGCAATGTTAAATAAAAAATAATACTAAATTTAAAAACAACAAATTATTAAAGTTTGAAACGCAATAAACTATTTGCAAGGAACTTCAAAATGTGCATTACCTGTTTCCGGCATTAGCGACAAATTTATAAATTCGCATAAGTGTTGTTATGGCAACCAACAAATTATTTAAACTTAATACTGCATCAATTATAATTATTTATGCTTTTACGGCCACTTGATTTTGCTCATTATTATCCGCTTTAAGGTACCATATAGTAGCCTTGATAACATCGCCTATTCACTCAATAAAAATTCTTAATACATCTGTTCTAGTAGGCCTATTGGCCTGATCATGTTATATTTTCTCCTTCTGAATTTGTTGATGAGGTGATATAAACTTTAATTTGGGCATTGTACCATGAAAGGCATTTTGCTGCTTTTGTTATCCTTGCTAAATGGTCTTCTAGATCCTTAGGTAGACTCCCATCAAGTGGATGCGCAGCAGGAACGAAATATGGGCAAAAAATTAATTTTACCCGTATCATGGAAAATGTATATTCTAGTACTTTATGGGTTTGACATCAAGTCAAACACCATAGGAAAGTAGGAAAATATGTTTAAGGAAAATTAAAATACCACAAAGAATTTTACTTAACAACTCGAAAAATGTAGGAGTACATTTCAGTCAAAACTGGTCTTTTAGCTTTCCTAGCTAATTTGATAATGTAATTTTTTTCGAAATTGTGCATGCATTGAGGTTTATTCGCCTAGGACTATCTTGTTATGTGTTGGAACATGTGATTTTTTTAAATAAATGAGAACACCTAGGCCTAGAAAAAGCAACAAGTGAGATCAGAAGTCAACATGATGCTATTAGTGCCATTACATCTTGAACTAGAATCAAGGTGTAATGTGAGGAATTATTTCTGGTATGAAGATAAGAATATTATTATTTTATGGCATTCAACACAACTTAATTTTTGAGAGGAAACCGTATTCAGCGATCGTAGAGATATTAAAGATCTCGTAAACAGCATTTTACGTTTGAATGACTCGTCAAATTTCTGTATTAAGTAGAACGTCTAAAAAAGCATTATGGTTCTCAAGAGCAGGTGTACTAACCAACTTAGAAATCAGCAGGTCTAAAATTTTAAATGACAAACTGAATGGATCCAAGACTCAGGACCTAACGTTCAGACAATGAAGTAGGCGTAAAAAATTTTAAAAGAAATCAAGCAGAATAAGTTTGAAATGGTGTTGTATTAGCTTTCATGTCGATTTGACACCGACCGATATGTTATTTCAAAGACTAATATCGAGTCTTGAATGGGCAAGTTTTCATTTACAGGTTAGTATTATAGCTTAGAAGAAACGCATCTTTTCATTAATCGAGTATCCAATTATGTCTGACAGTGCAAATGCTAGCGTTTGTAGCGTACATCGTTTACAGAAAAGAAAATGCTGTTTTTTAAATTTGCTTTTAGTTGGTTAATTAACGAAAAGGCTTGGTTCCCCCAACTTCGTTTACGAGGCAAGTACATATGCAACCGAGGACTTGAAAGAGTACAATCTTGCAATCTGTATTGCTCGTCGTCATTAAAATCGTCTCGGTGTCTGCGATGCAATTAGTCAATATCTGAATTTTGGCACTCGACGTGTTTTGAGCAAAGACCTGGTAGAAAAACTATCGACCAGATGAATTTTCACCAATGAAAGTCAAAATTTTGCGAAAATAATGTAGTCATGCGAATTTTTTGATTGTTTTGATTCAATAAACCAACTCTTTGATGCATATTTCATATTTAGTTTATTTTCGGTTTTGGGGTTGGAGCAGTGTAGTTCACTAACAAAATGAGCATCCCCACGTTTGCACTAGTGCACTCCTGACGTGCCAGATACACGAATTGTCAGTGTGAAGTGGAGTAGGTGGGTGACCTTGGTCAGGAAAACAACATGTTTAAAAAATTGAGGTGGGTGGTTGCAACACTATGAAGCCCGTAATCTGTCTTAAAGCTAGTTTATGGATTCTTCAAATGACGCAACAATAGCGAAATACCGTAAGCCAAATGGGTAGGGAAAGCATTAAAAATAAGGAGAGTTTATTTCGCAAGCTGTTCACATGCAATAAAGAAAATTGAAAGTACAAGGTTATTCGGTAGAAAGTGTACTTGTTGCGGCATAAATCTACTGAGAGAACTCGGGTTGTGGTGGGAGGGACTGAAGTGGAGTGGTCGCGTTCA